TCCAGTTCAATTAACACTTTAGCTAGCGTTTAATATACCAGATTTTGCATTTATTTTGTATAATTCGTGATCGTGATAACGAGTTTTAACTTTAGTAACCTAGTGCCGAACATAACTACTATGTATGTGTGTCGCGTTTGCACTTCCAATGTTGCGTGCCGTTATAGAGAGAAGGGAGGACTGGCAGACGAACTGAGAGATATAATAGAGACTGCGAAGGAATTGCAATTAAAGAGAGAACGATACTTAATAATTATCATTTCCAAGTACAACTTAAGTTAATATAATAGTTAGTATGTCGGACAACCCTGGCCGGCAACACTCTTTAATTCTGGTCTTCAGAATAGGGACTCTCGACAATCAGCCATGCTTCCCTGAGGGCTGTTGTTTGCACGAAAGTTGCACAATCCTATACCACTGCACAGTGCCTGTCATAGTGGCCGCTTCAATCGAACAACGCAGTAGGGCATTTGCTTTGGCACGAGCGATTGGTAATTTCGCGGCCTACGGCTCGAAGATTTGTCCATCTTATTGATCTGTACTTGATAATATTAGGGGTGGATACACCGTGTAAGTTGGCGATTGCGTGAACATCGCCTGCAGTTTTCCACCCTTATATGTTTGGACTTTCAATATACCAACTTCATTAACAACTATACAATCAGTACTCTCAAAAATCTGAGACAATAACTCAAGCATCACATCAACTCGGAATTTGATTTCCTGTCGGTTTGTAGGAATCTCCTTACTTTGGTTTATGCGTTACTTAAGTAACAGGCTTTTTTGGTCAGTTCAATGTCACCTCCTTTTCTCTCCAATTTATTAAGTGCGGTAGTCCTCAAGACTCGATATTAGGGCTCTCTCTTTTTTCTGATTTATGTTATGCTAAACACTGCTAAAGTACATGAAGAGGAGTTTCTGAAGAAAGAATCCTCAGTAACCAATCCAATCAGCAACATTTGTAGTCTAATTATTTTTTTGCTTGTTTTGTTTTGTTTTTGTTTGTTTGTTTGTTTTTTTTTCACTTATACAGCGCATAGTAATATGTATACAGCAGGTCGAGCTGCGGTGTGAGGAAAACGCGTGGCAGCTATAAGACAGCCCAATAACAACTGGCTATGGTATATTGACAAAAAGAGTTTCGCTGTTTCTGACTCTACAACTCAATCGCCGCTCGCCAGATCAAATGAAAATCTGACCGTAAGTATGAGCAAACAAAATCAGTTTTTGTTGCCTGGTAAGAGCATCAAACCTATGAAAATTGGGTGCATATATGTAAAAAAGAAAAGAAAAACAAAAACAAATAATTATCCGAAAAAACACAAAACAAAACAAAACAATTCAGTACTATGTGCATTTCTGTTATGTACTTTACGGCTGCAATAAGCATTGGAATCCGGCATGTAACATTACTAAGGGCCCGTTTAAAAACCAACATTTCCAAATTCCAATTTGACCAGGAATCACGTAGACGAAGAACCACTTTGTGGATGTACTACCTCTAATCGTTAGTTATCTATTATATATTTGTTTATTTAGTCTGTTTGAAACATGGAGGTGGGAAACCCCAGATAGGTGAGGTAGCCCGCCTTTCCCTTAATTTGATCACGTTTACATGACTGGTGGGGTGACCCACCAAGGCTGGGAACCCTCCCAGCCGGGGTAAAATTCGCGCAAAATTCACTTTGGCGATGGCTTTGTATCATTATTAAAGTGAAAGGTATCAATATAAAAGCCACAGCACGGAAGGTTGCAGCAAGAGCAGCAACTGAGTGTAGAAGAGCATTATTCGTCAAAACACGTGGTTTGCCAGCGTGGTTTGCGTGGTTTTTTTCTTGCTTACGTGCTTAGCGACCATTCAATACTCTTGAGAAAGTGCACCCCGGGATGAAGGGGTTTTAAGATTGCATGTTAAGGAGGGTTATTTAATTTTTTTACCCCATCTAAGCGGGTTACCTCACCAACCTGGTGTCCCCCACCTCCATGTAAACAGGCCCTTAAGAACAACTACTTCCGATCATCAATTAGTTTTGAATAATTAGAAGTGTAGGTCCATCAGTTTAGTGGTAGCATCCAAAGAAGCAATTAAAATTCATCCGCCTAGTAGCGGATTTTACGAGATTCACTGACTGCATAACTGAAAAAAATGTCAGACATCGCTCATAGGTTTGCATCTTATGGCACTGTTAATTAAACAAAAATTTGCCTCGTCCCTGTACGGCGTTTTCCCAGTCCCTGTCTTCAATTCATTTCGGTGACGCATCCGAGGCGAACCGCTGGGACCATACGACCAGAAACGCTTTGGCCGCGCGGAATAATGAGGCCTAGGGACTATGCAAGTAGCAAGACAGGTTTGAACGTGACTAGTAAAACGCGCAACATTGCTTCTCAACTCGTTTTGCAATGTTGCAAAAACAATTTGCCTGATTTTTTGCCGTATCTTTAACACTATTTTGTTGTGTGTAAAGGCGATTGCTATTGGCAAGGCGGAAGAACTGGTTGTTGTCTTGTGAGAAAGAAAAAAGGAAAAGGAAAGGCGAGAGGTGGGAGTTCTCGGTTTAAAAAGGGTGGAAAGCTGGAGAAATAGGAGGAAATTACGCAACAATGCTTTTAAATATTTAGCAATCGAAAGAGGGTTAAAGGAAGGAAACCAAGACAAGGGCGAGATGGAAATGCGGGAAGTGGGAGGCTTTAATTTAGCCACCTTCCCTCTCACCCCCCACAGTTCAGGCTTGAAAAAACAACAACAACAAAAACAAAGGTCACTTTACCCTTCTGTCTTGGGTCCTTGATATTAAGAGAAGTCTCCTAAGGCCTTGGCTTTGCAGTGAGCGCCTTTAAAGGTACTAATTAATGATGCAGATTCCACTTTTGTTTAGAGCTAGAGAGATTATTCATTTACCTTCGGTCACCGATGATAACACAGTATAGATAGTTGGATATAGTTAATTTCTTCTTGTCATGTCCTATGGTCAGTCAGTCTCAGTAATTTAGATCAGTATCAAACATTCGTCGTTGAGGATTCTACATTATTGAACTTAAATGTTTAAAAATGTTTAATGAGGAGTCTTTTTCCAAGCGAAGAATTGCGAGTGTATACAAGCTGTTTGCTAAATTGAACAAGCGTCAGCGGTCTGCCGTGCTGGAAGCCGGTGATTCAAGCCATGGACCGAATAAAGGATGTATAAATTTCTTTATTAAAGCTGTCCGATCGATCCCAAAGGCTCGACCAGTACCCCGGGAGGCGCACTAGGCCAAGTAAATTAAACTCACATAGCAGGTAGTAATGATCGAAACACTAAACTAAGAGCAGTGCTTTTTCTCCTTTTCAGCAATGCCTCGAAAATACTAGATCCTGCACTATTTAAAAAAAAAAGAGGCACAAGTTCGAATTAAGTCCCATATTTTGTTTTGTTCGTAGCAATGCTATATAAGTCTATATAAATGAAAAGATTACTCCTTAATTCCTATCCCGGAAGTCATTTGTTCAATTTGCTTTCAAGTCGAAATAACTGGGATTTTTGGTCTCATGAATGGACCATTTGGTAAAATCTGTGGCAACGAAAATGGTTCTAAAAATATAAGAATATTTCCGTTTTGGTTTTTACCCTTGAAAAACTACACCTGTCTCCGTTTTGCTTTGCTCCTATGTCACGTACACTCAACGTCGTCCCTTAGAATATTCCTTCTCGACCTCCCCCGTGATGATATTAATTTAGTAGAACGCCGAACAGGGGTAAAAGAAAACAATCGAAAAATAAGATGAATTACCAGTATAAAAATAAATCGAGCAACCATAAGAGAGGGAGAGAATACGCATCGACATCGACCGATAGAAAGCTAGTAGACTTAGTTCCTGGCTTGGCTTTGGCGGTTAAACTTCCAATATAGGGTATCCTGCATCATGTTAGATAAATTTGAGCCAGTTTTATTTTAGGTGCAACGGCTTCATCATTAGAAATTTTCTTTTCCAGTTTGTCCACTTACTTGTCTTTGAATTCAATGTACTCTTTTTTGCGTGCTCTACGAGTCACGTACCAATCGCCCCCAAGAAAAGGAGTGTTGTAAGGAGCCATGGCAATTTGCATTAAGAAGTTTGGGGTTATTTAAAAGCACTTTTCAACGATTTCAAGGGTTAGCAGGATCTTCACATCAGAAAAGCCAAGTAGGAAAGAAGCCTATGCTCGCAGGATATTACATCAGCGATTGGTTTTCTGCTTTTAGCGTTGTATTAAAAGACAGCGAATAGACTTATTTAACTCACATTCCCAAAAAGCGCGCCCGCATTTAATACTCCAGCCGTGAAATTGTTTACGGTGGCGAAGAATATAGAACTATACGTACTCCGAGTTTCTAGAAGTAGTTGTTTACTGTAAGAGGTACTTTGTGCATTTCGAAACGTGCTCTTTACAACATTTATATATTACATTATTTCCTGTGCTAGTTTTAAGGATTGTTACAAGGAATCCAGAAACTTCTCGGCTTCACAAACAACCTTGCAAATAAATATTTAATCAGTTCAAAAACTGAAAATATAAACAAGAGTTTTTGCTGATTACAATTCTTTTTTGGAAGGAAATACATTTTTCATGAATATCCATTTTCTTCTCGTTCTGTTTTAATTGTCCGTGAATGCCATCCTCAATCAAGTATGCCTCCACATTTCCTTGTATAAAACGAAACCCATGGACAAATGACGTGCCATTTTTGGAATCAACATGGCCACCTGGCAGCACAAAAAGGGGCCTCAAAAACAAACTCATTTATTTTAAATTGCGCGATATAAAAAACTACCATTTTGCAATAACAATCAACAACATCGCTGATGCTCAAGTTGAGGGCCATCATTATTGAATTATTGAAGACGGAAAATCTTAATAGAGAAAATATATATAAACACTCGAAAATCACTTTGGCGCAAAGCGACCAAGTTAGCACGTGTACATCTGGCTTCTGATTGGTGATGACGTCATGTATTTTTCTAACACGGTTGTTTTCAAGAGTATTTTACCGACGCTGGCTCAAGCGATATGTGTAGTCACCAATGAATGGAATTTACGGTCATTGGAGGCTGTGAATCAATCGTCTTAGCATTTTACGTTGACCTGTTTGATTGGTGGTATCAGCATTCTTTCAGGTAGCGAGTACAACCAGCAAACTTCGCACACTACTTCGCTAACTGGTAAGTTTGAAAGAGCCAACTTCCTCCCTCTACGTCGCGAGCCCATCCAGTTGTTTTTCAAACATGCTAATGAACAACATCTTCTCGGAGGATCGCAGTTTTTGGTGCACGCGAGGTCATAGGCAAAGTAAATGTGAAAAAATAGCCGTGATTCAAAATGTGCAAGCTTATCGGAAAACGATCGGCCTAATTATGTCTTGCTTCGATGAATTCTTTTGATTATAAATTCGATCACATTATTTGTAATTTTTCTTACGAGTATTAGGCTAAAACCTTTGTTCTGCTGTAGCTTCTTTATCATCTTACAAAATTAAGTAGTTGTTGTTTTCTTAAGGGGTCTAAGATTCTATGCAGAAGCCTTTAATGGATTTTTTTTCTTTGTCAATTATCAATCAAAATTTCATATGAGATCGTAAGTTTGACCGTGTCAGCTTATTTTAAGCTTGTATATTTCGTTGCTTATTTTACACATTTAATCTACCTTTATCGAAGAAACAACTTCGTTCCGGTTATAGGTGCAGTTGAAGATTTGTTTAACTTGGAATCAAATGTAATACGCTTTAAAGTCAAAAAGTATTTAGCACGCGTTACATTTTTACTTCAAAATTTTCATAAATTTTCCAAAAGAAAAATGTGGTTTGATTCATAGAAGCCACTTGCGGCTATAGGAGATAGACTTTTTTACATATGCTCCTGAATTCCAACTCAGGTGTTCAAAAGGTTTGTTACAAGTGAGCTTATCGCCTGCCTGAACTCGTACAATTACATTGTAACCTGAAATAACACCATAGCTATTAATATTTCTGTTATTATAATGACTATTGCAAATATTATTATTATTACAGTCATACCCTGCTTTAGGGACACCTCATTACCATGAGGAGTTTGCTTTGCCTGCGGAGAAAGAAAGCCGCATACGTTTTCTCTAGATTCAACCTGCTAAATACGGACACATTAATTCTGCGGCAGGTTCTCAGTGTCAGTTAATTAACGGGGTTTGACTGTATTATTATTCATTCGTTAAATTTCTCCATTTTTGATCAACCCTCAATTGTTTAAAGTGGGTAACGTTATCCACGGGATAAATTTCTATCCAGCGGATAATGCAGTTGTTTCATACGTAGGTTGAGTGCGATCGGCCGGGTGAACATAGCCTTGAATAATACTGTTGTTGTTGACAGTGACTGATGTTTTGACAACCTGTGTGGTAGTCATCTTCACAGTCAAAGTGAGTTGTATAACATCAGTTGATGGTATTAAACTCTGGTTATTGACGTGATTGGTCACGGTGTTATTGGTCGTCTCTCAGTTAAGCCGTGATGTTATTGGCTATGAAGACTCGTAATGCCATTGTTGTGTTTCGATCCGTCTATTGTCACAGTTAAACAGTCATTTATTGTTAGTCAAATTGTCAGTTGTCCAGTTATTCAATAACAATTCACAACTTAATTGACCAATCAGGTCAATAACCAGAGTTTAAAGGGACACAGTCAGCTATGGGACCGCGTTGGCCTGGACACTACTTTTCCCAGTTTGAAAAGTGTTTACCTCAACCCGAAATCAAATCTATGCGTCAGATACATCTAGAAATCCGCTTCAATCCTACCTAGTGTTTCATTTGATCCTCGATCTTTTACTTAAAATGTCTTTTTGAGTAAACTTTTACTCATCCTATTACATTATTTTATCATATTTAGTTAAAAACAGTATTGAAAGGAATGTGAACAGAAGAGGTGAGAAACGCATAGGCACCGGGCAGGAGAAATTGCCTTCGTTTAGTGCTTTGATGTGGCTTAGGGCCTATAATCACGATTTCGGCTGGTGACCAGTTCAACTCTACACGGTTTGTTTAGAGTATTCCGGAGACGCTTTGTTTTACGCGTGTCTTGTGACATGCAAATCAGCTAAGAAATGGTATTTAAAGCTTATGTGTATCAGCTGACTGTGTCCCTTTAATACCATCAACTGACATGATACAACTCACAACAGTCCTATTCAGGACTACGTTCACCCGGACGATCAAACTCAACAACTGGATCAAGATAAATTTTCCTGTTTACAGCAAGTAAACAGCCCCAATAGCCAAGATAAGTTTCAAATGATAACCGTCATGTAGTTGATGAGATTTCTGGTGAATTTGGTGGGATTTCACGGATTTTCCTGAATTTCACTACCGCACAAACTATCAGAAGCCCTGAAACTGCCAAGAAGCAGGCACTTGTTATGGTTAGAGGCAGCGTGGTCACTGGTTAGAGCACTGAACTTGTAATTGGGAGGCCTTGAGTTCAAGTTCCACCGTGACTACTAGCTGGATTTGTTCGCACTAGTGCCGAGGTCAAATCCTTGACCATGCTTGTAAAATAGTCAACTGGTTTGCCCCCTACCTGAGTCGGGATTTTAAACTTAATTTTGACTGGTCGGAAGAGAGACACAGGGCTAAAAGTTAACTTTTTAGTGCACTTGCAAAGTTTCACTAGTAGGATTGTTTTCCACTAGCAAACTGGTGAGACCACTAGCAAATTATTTCCCTTTGTTTCAGAGACATGGATGATTCTAACTCGCAGACGTTTGCTAGTGGAGATTTTTCTCACTCTCAGATTATCAAAATTACTCACATTTTGCAAGTTTGCCAGCGTTAATTTTGAGCTCTGGAGACATGACCAAGCTAAAATTTGTTTGGCCGATCAACATGACCGGCAACAGTCCGAAAGTTATGTAACAAAATAGTAAGATGAAATAAAAACAAGACCTTGTGTTAATAATTATGTGCGGGGTTATAGCATTACATTTTTTATTTATCTATAAATTTTTGGTACTATTTTTTTTTTCAGTGTCAAGTTCCTTTATCGCTGTGGATGGAAAAGTGTCTTAGTTCTCCCACAACATTTTACCTAGAGTCATGTTTCGCCTGTGTGTTGTAGGGAGTGGTGGAGTTGGCAAAAGCTCCTTGACTATTCGATACTTAAAAAATGAGTTCACTGAGGTAATTAATGTGTAATTGCTGTTTTTGGAATTCTCACACCACGAAACAAAAGTAAACCAACAACTAGTTTCCACAACATCAATAAACACCCTATTTTTAAAAAGGAGAATTTAATTCTGGTATGAATTTGGTGAGGCTTCTCAAGACCTTCTTACTGTCAAATGCACAAAACAGTTCAAAGATGCTTCAGGGATTCAAGCAACCACAAATTAACCCTTTAACCCCAGATATCCACATACAAATTCTCCAGACTTATCAGAAGGAAAAAACCTACATGTATTAGAAAATGTATGTACACATACGTACATTTCCTTATAGTATGAGCAAAAATTTAATTGATTATGGCATCTTTAGAAAACATCGATCATTATCTAAGAAAGTACAAGGTATTCACTCTTATTCAGACCTGTGAAAATGTTGAGTTAACTGTATCCAAAAATTGTGACCCGCTTTTTTCCCTCATGACCTGCTTTTAGCTTCTCTATGGGTACTGTGGACCCCAGTGAAGAAAATCCTTGTAAGATCACTGTTGCCTTAAAGAGTGTTTCAGGGAATTTGAAAACAAGATCATGGCAGTTTTCCTTCGGTGATCATTTTCCAAATTCTCATACACTTTTCTCTTGATGATGGATAGATGTTGTGAAGAGAAAATTGATGTCAGTTTCTCTTGGGACTTAAAGGGTTAATGAATGTACCATTGCTACTTGTGAATCAGTTGTCTAACATCTGATTGGCCGTGTACAAGGCCATTTTTATCTTTTGCTTGTTTCATCTACCAAACATTTTAAAAAGTACAATAGTTTGTGATCAGTTCCATGTTTGTTCCGTGAAATGCCTGTGGCACTCCCACGTTAAAAATTGTTGTACCCAAAATTTCAAAGCCAGCCAATAGGATTGCCTAAAATCTTTATCGATTATCTCTTATTCGAAGCCGACCAATCAGATTGTACAAAATCTGTATCAATTTTTAATCGATTTGCTTCTTCTTAAGAAAGTCAAAATCAGGACGTTCCTTGCCAAATTATTTCCCACTCGTGGTTTAGGATGGCTTGTTAACCAGCGAAATCCTTTGAGATACTGGCAAGTCACGAAAGGCGACCTAAGCCAAATTATTTCTTCCCTTCATGATTCTTTTTTGTTTAGGTCTAGCTTTTTCATAAGGTTTTAGTAGCTTCTGGTCGCGGGCCATGATTTCCGATAGATTTTTCTATTCAGAGTTCGCCAGTTTTTGCCAAGCACAGCTAGACTTCAGTTTTTTTCTTTTTTTATCGAAACACCTTGACGATGGGAGGTTAAATCGCGTAAATTTCAACTCGTGCACTTGACGATTGACGGTGAAATCGTAAAAATATTGTCCTCGTCGATCGACGACTCGCTTTTGGCATGGATTGGACTTCTGGATGGGAGACGGATCAGGACCTTAGTAAACTTATTGTACCTTGGGATCAGGGATAATCATCGGAACTATGTTAACTTGGATTATGTCATCTTGGATTAAAACATTCGAACTTTATCGAACTTTGTAACCCTGGGTTCAACCCTGGATAAAGCAAGCGGGTGTTTTGTTTTGTTTTGTTCCATTAACCTAAAACTACAATGTTTATTTCTCTTTGAAAAAGTTACCTGTGGCAACTTACTACCAAGATATGACCTATCTTTCTACATATAGTTCCTGTTCGGGTTAATCAGAGAGCATTATACGCATGTTCTCCATTACTTGTTCCGTTAACATTCCAATTTAAGTTACACGGCTAAACCTTGTTTTGATGCAAAATAACTTCTTTTTCTTATCCAAATCGTGCTACGAAAATAACTACATAGCGATAGATCAAAACAAGATCAACTCCATCCTTGCGACCACTGACAACTATAAATTTAGCTTGCGTAGCAGGTGTCGAAAGGGGTAGGGGATAGGGAGGAAGCAAAAAGGGGATTTGGATTGGGGAGAAATAGTAGCCTGCCACGCAGGCTACTATAAATTCAGTCATAAGCACATTAAGGCAACCCATACAGGTAACCTACTCATCGATGCTCAAAACATGACACATCTTTCCGGTTTCCCTAATTTTTCCAAATTCAGATAGAACGCCATTATGCTTCCATGGACCAACGCATCCCACGGAAACGACTTTAGGCGTCTTGTTAACATTAGTTTTGTTTTGTTTTTGTTTTTTGTTTTTAATTTTTTTTCTTTTCTTTCAGTATTATGATCCAACTTTAGGTGAGTTCTGTATTGTCTCATTGAGTGATGTGCATGTTATTCATTTACAGTCAACTCCCTTTATAGCAGACACTGTAGGGACCTCAAGTTAGTGTCCTCATTAGCGAGAGTCCGTAATAGCGGGAGTTTATTTCAGTCAAAGATCTGTAATTTGGTTTTTCCTGGGATTTAACTGCTGTCCATTTTATCGGGGTGTCCGTTATAGCGAGGTGTCCGCAAGGCGAGAGTTGACTGTAGAGTTTTATTACTTTTGGGTAAAACGCTGGTATCCATATTTTAAGTTAATGTTTATCTAAAATGTGGTGTGTTCTCTTTTCCACATGTTTGGGAATATACTAGAGGAAACATATAGAAAAGAGGTATGTACAGAAATTATTCCAAGGTGCTTCATGCTGTTTTAAGAAAGTGGGAAAAAGCGCCAGCTGTATATATCTGGACCTCTTTGGCCTCAGGCCCATCTTAAAGGGACACGGTCAGCTATGTGACCGTGCTGACCTGGACACTACTTTTGCCAGTTTGAAAAGTGTTTACCACAACCCGAAATCAAATCTACGCGTCGGATACATCTTGAAATCCGCTTCAATCTTGCCTAGCATTTCATTCGATCCTCGATCTTTCACTGAAAATCTCTTTCGGAGCAAACTTTTACTCATCCTACTACATTATTTAATCATAAATAAAATAAAAACAGTATTCAAAGGAACATGAAACAGAAGAGGTGAGAAACGCATAGGTGCCGGGCGGGAGAAATTGCCTTCGTTTACCAAAATAACAAGAGAAATGAATCAGTAACATTGGCGAGCAAACAATTGCTATACATATTTGGAAAATCAATGGAAAAGGTTTCATGTATTTGGAAAATCAAGCTTTCTTGACCGTGAACCTTTGACAATGATTCAGACTTCGTGCAATTTCTCACCTCCACTGATGTTTGAATTCGGAAGTATTCGTCAATGTTTGGCTTTTCCCGGAAAAATCCATCAGTGAATTCTCAATGTTATATATAAAAAATGAGTGCTCTGATATGGCATAGGGCCAATAATCACAATTTAGCTTGTAACTAGTTCAACTCTACAAGGTTTGTTTAGAGTATTCCGGATACGCTTTTGTTTCACGCGTGTCTTGTGACATGCACATCAGCTAAGATATGGTATCTACTGTGCATGTGCCCCAGCTGACTGTGTCCCTTTAACCTTTACCTTACATGTGCCTTTCTAATTATCTAAATCAAACAGTTATGTGAGTACATAAAGGTGTATAGAAATCATCTTTTAAAGTACATTATTTTATTTTCATAATAAATGTTATTGTCAGTGCACCTAACAACATCACTGAGTGGGATAAAAGTGGTGTGCTGACTGATTTTGCAAACGAGACTCTGCACTATGCCAACTTCACCTGGATTAATCAAGGTCAAAGTCCCACCTGCCCTCAGAGCAAGCAGCAATCGAGCTTCTTCAAACCCAAAAATTTATTATTATCATTATTATTATTATTGCAATACCCCACAGAGCAAGCTGTCATGAATAAAAAATGAAAAACCTTTTCCTGCGTGACGCATCCGAGCTGATGCAGACATCTCCTGTCATGTGACTTAGTATGAATGTCATCTCCAAAAAGTCAGGGCAAGGTTGTTGAAATACAGAATGTATTAATTTTTAACTCCTTTACCATAAATTGTCAATTTAATATGTATCCAGTATAAGAACCTACTTGCAATAAAATGTCTGTAAATTGCAGATTGAATATAATGGCAAGTTATATGATGTGGAGATAGTTGATACAGCTGGACAGGAGGAGTTTAGTTCATTTCGCGATTCATCAGTTGCAACGGGTGATGCTTTTTTAGTGTTGTTTGCCATTAATTCTGCATTGAGCTGGCATGAACTCAAGGAACTGAGAAGCAAAATTATCCAAGATCGACAGGCTGCATCTGCGATTCCCATGGTTATGGTCGGTAATAAGTTGGTAAGTTTTGATAAAAATTGTTAGTTATAATATTAATATCATTGTCATCATCATCACTGATCAACATCATCATCATCATCATCATTATAATTATGGAAGTGGTTAGTATGTTGGGTACCATGAATTAAGACTCTTTTAAGGCCTTTGGGGGTATGAAACTAAAACATAGTTCGTTCATGCACACTGAGACTGGAAGTTCTGATGACTGGTCAAAAATTGCTGTCAAGTCATCCTAGAAATAGATTTTTAAGTAGATTAATAAATCTGTCATCCTCATTGGATGAAAGCAAGCATTTGATATGATGTACATTGTAAAAGTCAAGCAAATGTGAGTAGTTTAAGGTTCTATCCTTAACTACTCAAAGCTTAAATTCTTCCCTGGTCACTCAATACATTTTTAGGACCTCCACAATTGATTTGCCTGGGACGGCACACAGACTCCGCCAATATAAAGGGGTGATTCCCCCTTACTTACCTTTAGTTAATGCCCCTCACACATGAGTGCCTTTCATAATCTATTTCCTCCTCCTTACTTTTTTTTCTCCTTCCTTAAATTTTCTGGCAAACCCTGGGTCAGGTGTGCATGCAGTTTGATGTGGTGACAGTTAATTGATAACAGTTGTGTTAGCCTTGGGAAACAGCTATTATTTGGAATACTATCACTGATTTCCCTGCAAAATGGTGACTGAACCTTCATACTGATGCATGTTACTACCCAGATCTGGGTAGTACTTCGGATTGGTGGTGCTGCGAGGGAAAGTTGCTTCAACCAATCAGAAGCTTTACTCAGATGTGGACAGTGACAGGTCAGCAGTATGAAATTTCTGCAGTTGTTCCCCAGACATCATGTCGCAGGGAAACCAATGATCATGGCATCACAAAATGTCAGCTGTTTTCTCAGGCTTCAGTTTTGTTAACTGAACAATATTATTTATTGCAGGACCTGGAAGGTGAACGGGAAGTCAACAAAGATGAAGTGTTAGAGTATTGTAATTCTTCAGATGTCAATATTCCATTGATTGAGACATCAGCAAAGGTAGAGATAATTTTTTAAACCCTGGCTGGGTTTTTTTTTCAGTTTGAATAGTACAATAATTATAGTGTATTCAATGATTCTGAAAATTTTAATACAATGAAACTATCAGTCAACGAAGCAAAATTGACCTTTTTGTGGGCTTGGAACTGTGCTACTATTCAACAGGTTGTGATTTTAATATTTGCCTTTGAGCCTAAAAAGTTTCTGGGTCTTTTGAGAAACGCGCCCCAGATCACTAATTGAAAGTGGAAAGGGAGTGCTAAGTTCAACTCCCTTACCATGCTTGTCAATTAGCCAGCTAGTTGCCTGCAGCCAATTAAGGTATTTAACCATGTTACATGTAGTTTAATCTTGGCTGTATTTTCTGTGATTATGTAGTGTGGTGCCTGTAAACTAACTAGAGCAGGAAAGTGTACTTCTACCATAAACAAAGTGTTCCATTTTACTTTTCATTGACATGTTGGCCTACGTGAGGGTGCGAGAGCTTTTGAGTATAATACCTTGTAGAGATGGGCTGCGAATGAGGCCAATTTGGCTAACCTCCTTTGGGCTTAGCAGATGATCCCCTCCTCGATCTGCATAATATGATTATTCTTTATACCGCGCAAAAACCGCTATTGATAATTGTAATGTTTAAATTATTCATTCAAACCTTACCTCTTGTGGAATCTCTTCATTCCGTCGGCCAGTTCCCCGGTGGGTTTGTCATTGGGTGATTTACATCAATCGTCATAACAATTTAACAAATTAATTTGGGCAAATGACATAAATCTTCCAAATTGATTTTTTTGGTCAGTGTTATAGCTTACTGTAATTATTATTTAAAAATTCACAAAAGCGTTTAAGAAATGATTCAAGAATCTAAGTATTTCGATTGCTTTCGTCACTTTAAGAGCTATAAACGAGAAGGGTTCAAGTGCTGAAATTTTTCCCGCACTGCTTTCTGGGACGCAGCTATTGGCTAATTTCTCTTCTCCCTGTAAATAGTAAGAGAGCGTTTTTACATGATGTCACGGCGGCCATATTGGTGTTCCAAAACAATAGATCGTTTTCACCGTCACGCAACAAAAAATTAAATTGGAAACCGTCCGGTGGAAGAAGCCAAGAAAATGAAATGTTATAAAAGACTAATACATAAACAATTTATCCAAGTGTCAGGTCTTTGTGGCCCACAGTTTCTGAGTTATTTGCCGAAACGTTTCACGCACCTTTGTAGAGCTTTGCATGGAGGTACCGTATTTATTCGATTAACCGCCCTGGGCGCTTATTAAATTTTTGGACCTTGAGAGTGGGCGCTTATTTGAGGTGGGCGCTTATTCGAGGCTGGGCGCTTATTAAATTTTCACCATTTTCAGCAAGTGAAGTATGTTTATTTTGCAACAGAACAACAAAAAGCTAACAACAAAACGCGAAGAAGTAACAAAGCAAGGTTTCTGTAAAATACTCTGAAGAAAACTCCGTCCTCGGGGAAGTCTCTTAGTAGAGTTTATTCACTAAAGTGGGTGGGGTGGGAGTAAGCGCTTATTTGAGTTTGATTTTGAGGAGGAGGGGTGGGCGATTATTCGAGGCTGGGCGCTTATTAACTTTATCTGCCTTTAGGATGGGCGCTTATTCGAGGTGGGCGCTAATTCGAGGTTGGGCGCTTATTCGAATAAATACGGTACGCCATATTGGTGCACCGTTTTGGTGCACCAATATGGCCGCCGGAAATCAACAAATACATCTGGAGTTCACTTTTTCAATAAAAGCTCTTTCTTTTCACTCGAGAACTAGCATAGGTGCGCATAAACATATCTTCTAATACTTGAAATGGTTATACTGCTGAAAATCAAGAGGAGAGACTTTTTTCCAACGAGACAGCATTCCTATTTTGGTGTCACGCACAGTGAAAACTCGGAAGTTCAAATTGCTGTATTTTCGAAATGAAACATGCTACAGGAATGGAAACTTGCACGAAGATTTACTTTTTGTTTATCTTTAACCTAGTATAAATAAGAATTCGTAAAACCTCGCTATTTTGACTTTACAATTTTATGACGTCACTGTGAAAACCATCTTTAAAAGGGCAGCCAAGTTGGTGTTCCAAACCAATCCTGTGGAAGTTGAACTCCTTTCTTACATGCAAACGCTTTCTTTTATTCCAATCAATTTGCATAGATGCTGGATACACTGTATGTGACGGAAAACACTCTATGGTCTCAGAAGTTGGGCCCGGTTCAGACGCCGCTCCACACATGTGCCGAACGTAATGATGAATTAAGTGCGGCAGAAGAGCTGTGTCTGAATCAAATTGGTACGGCAGTTTTAGTTTGATGCGGCAAAAGCGTTAGGTTCGACAAAGTCTGTCGAACTTAACTTAGGCTCGACACACGGTGCGCTGTTTGAATCAGATTTTCCGCCAGTGTCGCTCCAATGTCGAACTTATTCAGTTAGGCTCGACATGAAAGGTACGGCGTCTGAACCAGGCCTTGGTCTTAGAAGCGAAAGCTTACTCGTCCCAGTTTTCCTGCTCGTTTCTAAACTGGCGAATAGTAAAGTGCAATAGACCTTGTCACGGTTTTGGAAGCCATCTTGACGAGTAGGCAACCGCGTGGGAAATTACAGTGATTGTATGAGAATCTAATGTCGAATAAGATCCGTAAAACGACTGATCTGAAAAAAATATGAAAGTAAAGCTTCACTCCGATGCATGCAGCATGCGCCAGACCCACTGTTTATAATTTTGTATACATTTGTCTTTAAAAATCTTTCTTCCTGTCGACTAAAATTTCTTGGGAAAATTGCAGGCAAATATGTGGGAAATTTAAAGCAAGCGTCTGGAGAAACAAAAGCACAGGTACGGGCCCCAAAAATTTGTTAGTAGAATTTTTTACTGTGTAGCTTTAGTCACAATTCATTTTTTTTTCTTCAGAACAGTCGTTTTACGGATCTTATTCGACATTACATTCTCATACAATCACTGTAATTTCTCACGCCCTTGCCTACTGGTCAAGGTGGCTTCCAAAACCTTGACAAGGTCTATAGGGAATTTACCGTTTGTTTTTATCTTTACAGACTGGCTTGAACGTGGAGGAAACATTCCAACTGATGATGCGTCAGATTCAGCGGATTCAACCAGCACTGTTAGAAAGGATAGCTCCCAAAAACCACGAGGACAAAAGAAGGAAAAATGACTGTCTTTTACTCTAGGATTAGCCTTTTATATTAGGTTTCGTTTCGTAGTGAAATAGGAAAGAACGTTTTGTATTTTTTATCCGGTCGAGACCACTGAACTTGCCATCAAGTCACCATTGAATAGTGGGGAGGGGGATGGGGGCTTTTTGAAATCTCCGTACTCTCGTATCTTGCATTTTCGGCCCCGCCCCTATTTTCTTGGTTTCTTACCATTAGCCCTTTTTTTGATTGCGAAATACTAATAATTGTTGCGCAATTTCCCCCTATTTCTCCTGCTCTTTGCCCTTGCAGAACTTCCCTCTCCCACTCGTTCCTATTCCGTCCTCCGTGCCCTTTCGTCCCCTATTTCTCGGGCTCCCACCCCCTTTTCTCTCCTACTGAATACCGAAATATCGTGTCCGGTTCTTCTTGTTGCGTTTGCAGCCAACCTAGCTTCCCCCGCAGACGTTCTTTGGGCTTGTCACGCAATCTTCTTCTTAGGGCAGGAACGCGTGACGAACTCCTAAAAACGTGTGCGTAGGAGGCTATAGCCAACCTTGGGGTAGTGTAATACGGGAACGTTCACTTTCACCTCTTACATGTTAGGAACTTTGCTTGGTGATTCTTATAACGGCAGCCGGAGTCGGAGACTTGCCTTTACATGGATCTTTGGGGGTGGTACTAATTCAAGTACCTTGTTCAAAATATAATCCTGATATTAGAGAATTTTTTCACCTGGGGTTTGCTCTATTTGCCTCGTTGTACAACAGGGCATAGCTTTCTTTGGGGCTGTCAGTCCGCTTTACCCCCCGAAAGGGAAGATTTCTTATTTATACATGGCATTCCAGAGGGTTATAGAGCATTTCAGATAACTTTATACCCCTAGTCAGGAAGACGCTGGAAAAGCTTGGTAATTTCAGACAAAAATTAAAGAATTTTCCTGAAGGATTTGTGCTTGTGTGCTTTTGTGAAGTTTCCTTGCGAAAGATAAGTCCCGGCGGACGATCGGGGGTTTCCAATTCTCGTGCGTCCCAGAATTTGCCGATGGAAGAAAAGACAAACTCTGGGGCCCTGACCACACTAATGCGTTTTTGTTTGAAAACGCGTCGATTTGAAATCGCTCTTGAAAGCGGTTCAAAACGAAACGTATTAGTGTGAAAGGTCGAAAACGCATCAAAACCGCAATATGGCAGGCGCGTATGTTCTTACCATGTTCATAGGGTTCAGCTTACGTCCCAACGTGTGGACAGTCGTAAACGCGTCAAAACTGTAGCGTGGACGTGAATGGATTTTCGATGACAACGAAAACGCACGAGTGAGTGCAGGGTCTTAGTCGTTGTCTGGGATACTTCGGGACAAATCGGGGCAATCAAGAGCGTTTTTTCTTCCAGACTAGTTCTAGATTTTCACGGCAATCCATGTGCTTTAGTCTTACTTGATACCAATTCTATAATTGCTTGGCTCTAGTTGCCAGCTGTTACAGTGATACGGACATCCTCGCGTTTTGGGCATCCCCATTCCCAAAACCCTAGTGATATGGGCATCCCCTTCTCATATTACCTTAGCGATTTGGGTTAGGGTTACAGGAATGCCCATATCACTAGGGTTTTGGGAATGGGGATGCCCATATCACTCTGACACCGCCCTCACAAACGACAATAGCATCTCGGACAGAGACTTGAATTTTCCCTAGACCGCAAAACAGTCGGTTTTGTTGTTGTTGCTGTTGTCGTTTTTTCCCTCAAAATCGTGAGCAAGTCAGGCGAGAAAAGAAAAACCTCATTTCCATTCTCCGTTTTCATTATCGCCCCACTCCTTCCACAGTCGTTTGACCACTCGCGCACCTGTTCTTGACCTAAACAAAAATACGGTTTTGCAGTCTACAGGTTCCGGGACATCGATCAAATCTGAGATGATTGGGAAATGGTGAGGGCAATGGGAAACGGAGATGTGGGGGTTTACTCCTTTCCCGTTATTTGAGACAAAAAAAAAATACCGGATCCTTGAAATTGCATTGTAGGTCTGTTTTAGGGGACGAATTTTGACCCATTTTCCTGCACAACCTCCTAATAGCCGATGGGGATCTGAGCCTAAGCAACGACGACGTCAACGACAATGACAAAAAAGCAATAGGTTTAGATGGGCAAAACAACAACTCTGCACGTGCATCACGCTTTTTGGTACATTTCTTGGTTAGGGGACGAATTTTGATCCATTTTCCTGCACAACCTCCTAATAGCCGATATAGGGATCTGAGCTTAAGCAACGACGACGTCAACGAGAATGACAAAAAAGCAATAGGTTTAGATGGGCAAAACAACAACTCTGCACGTGCATCAAGCTTTTTTCTACATTTCTTGGCCGTCAGTGCACGATTACGACGTGAAAATACCTAATTCACCTGAACACAAAGCAACGAGTGGTTCGTAGAATCTTGAAAAGGTCCTTATTTTTAGTAGTCGTCCTGAAAAGTCCTTGAATTCGGTTAAGGTCCTTGAAAAGTAATTGAAATTCCCTATCTCGTCTACGCCAGACACCCGTTTTCTATAAAATTAGAATATTTTGCCGAGGAAAATCTGTCTCATCCTCGGTGTAAGAACCTAATATAACTCACGGGTAACGTTAAAACATTTTTGTGCTTAAACAAAATGACGTACATTACGTGTTTTAGCCAGTGATGTGTTCAAAAGGGGGTTAAAGAATGCCGATTAATTACTGAATAAATATTAGTCCTTGAAAACTGTGATTTGTCCTTAAAAAGTCCTTGAAATTTGTTTGTCTCGAGTTGTACGAACCATACTGTCTTTACGAAATCAACACCAGAAATAATTGCTAAGATTTGACGAATTGAACGAGATGAAATATTAAGCGCGATAAAGTTTGAAGCAGCGCGACGTAAGTTTTTAAGTGACGTTTTCGTAGCCGTAGCCGTCGCCATCGTCATTAAAAAAAGAGACAGAGCCCAGAACAGTCCCATAATGCATTTCGACGAAACACTGACCCTGTAACGCGCAAAGGACTTAGGACCTGTATACATGGAGGTGGGGACCCCAGGTAGGTGAGGTAACCTGCTTAGGTGGGGTAAACCGCCTGTCCATATAATCTCTCATTTTAAATTGGTTTACATGATAGGTGAGGTGACTCACTGTATGTTACCTCACCTATCTGGGGCCCCCCACCTCCATGTCAACGTGCCAAGCCCTTAAAATGGCCAGAGGTTATTCAGTTCCAAAGAACACAACTTCAGCGATCAGTCTGGAGGGTAGGACAGTATTCATCTTAGCACAGTACGTCCTTAATGTTACAGCTATACCATAAGATTTAACACCAAGACATAAACTTAGTGGCGATTGCTGAGATTACATCTCTTATAAAGTCTGATTGCTTGCTCTATTTACAGCTATGAATTAAAGTTTACTTGCATTTAGTCCACAATTTAGCGTTGACAGATTGACGGCATACATATCTTCCACCTGAATAGGACTTTAAGTCATCTTCATGCATCTTCCACTAGTTCCGATAGAGTGCTTGATCTCAGTTATACAGCTTGCAAGACAAACAGCACTACTCCAACTGTTCTCAATCTTGTTTTTACTTCTACGGGTTCAGAGAGATCACATGAAAAAGTGCGTGCTGGTGGTTTAGAATAGAACACTTTTAAAAGGCTAAGTTATCTGCGATTAAGTATACTAAGCTCTTTAAAATTGAACTACTTCCGAATTATCGAGGGATTCTCAAATTTAGCGAAATTACAATTAGTTCGTGACATCAATTGCACAATTTGAACATTTTCATAACTCGATGTTATGAATAATATTGATACAATATTTATTATTAACCGTTATGCATGCCTCGCTCAATGCATGTTTTATTAGATTGCGTTCTAACCTTATGTCCCATTCACACCAACTAAATATGTTTAATTTAACTAGGGCTTCAGAAAAAATGAAAAACAGTAACGGAAACTGACTGAAACATAGTCTTTTGCACAGAATTCAAATGAATCTTAACTCTTTACATAATTGCACTCAATTTGCAATCGATAAACGCACATGCAGTAAGCAGCTTTTATAAAGAACCGGCGTGTTTAACGAAATAGCTTTAAACTTAGCTTGTTTAAGCTTTGATGAGAATGGGGGGTACCTTCCTCTTAGGGGTACCCATTGCAAGGAGGGCTTCCTCCTAAATGCATGGAAAACAGTCAGGCTATCCACAGTACTTTTAGATCTCGAGAAATGCATTTTAAGCGGTGCTATAAAATTTGTATCCTTCGATCATAAGGCAACTTGAGTCTTTTCGAAGAGGCTTTTAGTATTATTTTCCCGAAAATTTTAGAAGCAATTTAAAGTTTTACGAAAGCAAGAACTTTTCTGATTCCCCTCTTCATCACATTTTCGAATCAAAAAGGTTTAGGTTTCTTTTTTCTACGAAAAATATCTTAACCTGGGAAGTGAAATGCGAAAAATTAAACTTTAGAAAATCGCAGCGAAATTTGCAAGGGTCATCTAGAAATTTTAGCCTCCCTCAATCGATAGTATTATTTGTCCTTGGCAATTTGCTTCTACGAACAGAAATTTTACAGAAAACAATCGTTGGGTGTCCCTTCCTTGCTATAGATACTGTAAAAGTCAGTGGGTAGGTCTGACTTTAAAATCAAGGGGGATGAACGACCTGCTGTATTTTTGGTTTAAAAACAAACTTCCGCAGTTCTTTCTGTCTCCAACAGTAAATAAACGGATTTAAAAGTGAATTTAGCATTGAAAACGTGCGGGCCCATAGTGGTGGAAAAATATCAGGCCGTTTCAGCAAGAGAGTAATAAAAGCTAAGGCTATTGGCGAAAAACACACTGCTAAAGCGCCAACTACATATACAGTTGTTTTCAACGCTTTGTTCGCTTTCGCGAAATGCTCTACTTCTTCTTGGGGTATCTGCTGGGTCTTGATTAGCTTTCGATGACGTCTACCTTCAATATACAGCAGCACATATGAAAAAGTGACAAAAATGATACAAGAGCTTATAGTTAAGGCGATGAAAAAGAAAGAAAAATTCTTTGCTGGTTTGATAAATTTGAGAACCTCACAAACGAGAGAGACGACCCAACACAAGATAACTACTACCTTAATTTTTTCTTCACTTACAATATATAGGTAATTCATTGTAAACTTGATCGCTACAAGTCTCTCAGCAGTCACTAGCATAAGATGAAGACAGGAGCAAACAGAAAGGGCGCGAAGTGCCGAACTGTGGATCACGCGAGGTGGGTTGTAGTTGAGCGCACCAGTTATCTCAAATGTTTTCCAGAGAATAAAGGCTGGTTGCGTTATTAGACCAGTTAAGGCGTCAGTTGCGGCTAGACAGGCCAGCAAGATGTTGGTTTTGGTCTGAAGTCGTCGTCTTCTTTTGACAGCCATTATCACCAACACATTAAGGAGAACTGTAAAAGGACAAGCGATGCTGTTTATGATCAAAGTAGCGACATCCACTTCATAATGGTCATTTTTTAACGAGCCGCCTTCGATGGTGTCTTCATGTTTGCTAGTTATGTTTGTAGAATCGAAACTAGTGATGTTGGCCATCAAGAGACGAGACGGATTAAAGCTCGAAATGTGCGACTTTGCCAGTGACCTTATATCTGCTGCGTCAAAAGTGCAGTCTCGAGACATAACTCATTTTATAAGGCTTTCTAGCAGTTGGTCTTTGTGTTAATTTTCCCAGGCATTTTAATATAGAGGACAATTAACTCCGCAAAAACAATAATATCAAATAAAAATAACCTCAACATAATCAAATGGTTAATTCTCATAGTTATTCTGTCACGAAGTGATGATTTCTTTCCGGCGTAAGAAACAGAAAATAGTTTAATACAACATGCATGGAAAGTGCTGAGCTTTAAGAGAAATATTGATGGAGAATTTTTTTTTTTAATTTAAAAAAATCGACCCTTTGAGGCGATATGTAGTTTAAAATTAATTTTTAGTTTATAACTAACTGACTAACCAGAAATTTTTAAAAAAGATATACAATTTTGTGTAATTGACATGGAAAGCATTGAAGTTTTGTTTCTTTTTGTCTTTTATGCTTGTGCAAATCCTTGCCGCACGCAAGATAATGTATTACATTAGGACGAATTAGAAGTGAAACGATAGAAAAAAAGCAGCGAATTTTATGGCTTTATGAAGAACGTTCCTACTAAGTAATCTGCTATAATGAAATTCCCCAAATGAAATTACACGAGTTATAGAAAGTCTGATTTGCAACAATTTTCTAAAGGGGGTCAAACAGATCTATTTTTATTTTTCATGAAGGTAACTCTGATGGATATTTTAATTCAGGACCAAAAAGAAACCGTACCGCAAAAGAAACAATGAGGAAACTGATAAAATGACCTGTTTTAAAAAATTAAATATAAACACAGTAGCAATTCTAAATAGTTCATCTAATTCGTGGAACTCCTCACAAACAATTGGGTCAGCAAGGAAAATGTCGAATCGAGGTCCGATCGTCGACAACAGTGCAAGGAAATAAGTAAACGAGAGATACAACTCGGTAGACTTTGTATTGGCGAAAAGGTTGAATAATTAAATAAGTAAAATTAATTAGAAGTAGTTGTTTCTAAGACTATTATTAAAGTGAAATTTTAATTTCTAATAGTGAATTATTTGTCGACGCGAACTGTTGGCCAAATCGTGCAGCAGCGCTATTTTCTGCACGCTACGGATCATTGGGCCTATCTTTCTACTTAACTACCGATCGAGTATTGCCAGGGTTCCTACAACCTATATTTTACCCACTGCTAAAAGGTACTTTTGTATGAGGGGACCGGATATTAATGGTATCGCCGAGATGAATTACAGGGCACAGGTAAAATTGGCCTAAAATCGGTCTGGTTTTGTAGTAACTCCGGGTTTGAATTGTATTACTGCAGGAATCGTTTCTTATGACGAATCAGTCTTTCTCCCCATTAACCCACATTCGGCCCCACAGAAAAATATAGATAAACAATCATACAGCCCTTTCTTCCGCAAACCTGCTTTTATCCATGTAATAGCTAAGTACTGCCGTGATATTTTCAAGTTTCTCTCTCCTATGCAACTTAATACACCGCCACAAGGCAAATTAATCTATACTTTTGTTACAAACGTTATGATACAACCCAATGCAGCAAGACTAAATTTTCGACAAAATTAGGCAACTCTTCAAAGCTGACCAACTTATTAACTATGAGTGTATACATGTATTTTGAGACAGAAAATACCCACTTATTTTAAAAGTGAAGCATTCATTAGTTCTTTTTTTTTTTCACCTCCAATATATGTCTCTTCCTAAAAGCAGTATATTATGACTTGTTTTGCGGCAAATCTTTGCCTGAGTAAATTAATCAATGTATTCAATAATATGTAGGTGTGCCACTTTTCATCATAATTACATGATCAAAATAATATATACTAACTAATAAATTTTATCCTAAAAAGTATGCGCTTAAAATTGAATTCTCAGCCTCTTTTTATTTTGCAGTGGTTCTTAGAGTATAAATAAATACAAAATTTCTGTTGATAATCTTGAGGCTCAACTTAGCTAATGCGATGTTTTCATTATTTTTGAGGCAATCGTTATTCAGCAATCGAATTTAATCACGGGTAATGCCTTAGAATAGCTCTCTCATCGAGCGGTTTTCACTTGACTGTCGTAAAACCAAAACCAAAGTAAATACAATAGCCAACCAAAGGGCGTAGTAAAACCAAAACCAAAACCAAAACCAATCCCTTTCGACAGTCAAGTGAAAACCGCTCTAACTGAATAGATGAAAAAATAAACCTTGAGAGCATTTGAACATTTGAGCATTTTTTGAGCCATAAATCTTTCCGTGATGCCCATAATTTTATCAAGATGGCCAACATCACTGGCTAGAATAAAAAAAACAAAATTAAAAAAATAAAATAAAACAGCTATCTCAGTTCTGTTTATTCATATATGTAGTCGGGCGGGAAATAAATCAATCACGAATTAGAATCAATTTTATCATATTGGACGCTCACACTCAAAAGTTGAAATTTAAATGTAACGGCTTCATCCTGTTTCCACTTCATCTTACGGTAGTGGCGGTAGTGCTTGCGTAAGCTTTAAATTTCCTTCCGTACAACTAAAGAATAAGTACAGTTTTATCGTGGAGAAGTAACTATTTAAATTTTTTAAAGCTTGTGTCAGCATAATCCAGGTATCAAGTTTGATAGTACTGTACATTTTCGTTGTCTAAAGGTGTTTTACCAAGTTAAAACTTGTTTTGCGGTAGATGGATATTTCTACTTTGACATGCTAAATTTGAAATGGCGGCAAATTTTAATCAATTAATTTTTATATGGGCACGCAACAGTCAAAATATACAAAAATTAATCTTTTTCGTTTTTCAATACTTCTATACGTAAGAATGATATATTTTTCTGGTTAACTTCAGAATTTCTCTTTATAATGCTAAGGATAGGCTTGATTAACATTCTATTGTTAGTTTAAGTTCAGTTTTTTTTCACTTTGGAGTATGCCTTCCACCGTCAAACAACCTGGTTCGTTTAGTTACAAATCATATTTACTTTGCCATGCTACATTCATACTGTGATGAACCAAGTTTTGAACATAGCAAAAACCCTTTTGGGGGGGAAGGGAAGTGCGGTCGGAGGTGGAGAACGTCTACTGAACCGTTGTTGCTACTCGGACAGGAACATTCTTCAATACTCAGCAGGAAAGGAACTTCGTTTTCATACACAGTGTTCTTTCCAAGGCCAGGCGATCCTGCGAATACAGCCGCCTCTCGTCGCTCTCTTGTAAACTTAGCAAAAGTCATCCTCATGAGATTCACTGCAAAAAGCCTTATAGCGAGTGGAGAATTTAACAAGAGCTCCGCTTTTAGGCTTGGCTACTGCCATTCAGTCACCATAACATTAAAAAGGAGCATGAAGTGATGCTGCTTACTATTACAGTGATTACAGCAGCTGGCAAAACTTGGTTTGTTGTCATGTTTTCTCCGGTGAGAATTTCGTTAGTACTGATTAAAGAATTTAAACCAGGGAAACCAGTGTTGTTGGTCCATCTTGGGACAAGTGGGCATGAAAAACTGTGCGACAATGCCTCAAACAGCCACGGACCTCTATTTGGAACTGTTCTCGAGATATCGACAGGATTGTAACCTCATACTTTAATGGCAGCTGATAAAAAAGAGATGGGTAGCATTAAAATCGATGGATGAATACAACTTACAGTCAAAAATTGACTAAGAGTATCGTTGTTACCTGAAGCAAAACTTCGCCGAAAAATTTTAACTTAGAAATAAGTAACCCCTTTCTAACTTTGAAAAATAAAGTTAATATCTTAAAACTTCTGTAAGCCAAATCGAAAAGCAAGGATTTGAATACATTTAAGTTAGTCTACTGCAAAGCAAATCCATTCTCAATTGTACCCGTAATGCTTTTCCCTTAAGTCTTCCTGAATGTAACTAAAATTGTAAGAAAAAATACAGGTCCTAAATACACTCGCCTAAGTTATTCTGGAGAACATACCCGGGCGTCTGCCCTATCGATGTTTCTGGCTGATCCTGATCTGACTGAGTACCTTGAGCTCAGTGGTTTCATGCGTCTATTTAGTCCTTTTTTAAACTTCCAGTAGCTCGACTTTTTAAATTCAGCACGACTCTAGCACTACTGTAGAATGACTTGGTTTCAGACCTCAAATTTCACTTAGTCGAATCAAGTAGCTTTTGCCGAAAGCACAACCTAAAAAAGAAAGCGGTTTAATGAACTTTTAAACCGCTTTCTAATTAATGTATTTATAATTTATTATGAATTGAGTTACGCACGGCAGAAGCACGACGTTTGAAAACTGCAGGCATTCCTACAGCTCTACGTCTCTTGACTCACCCAATAACTTGAAAAGACTTTGAAAGTCAACAGATACATTGTTTTAACGTCAATGGGGTTGCACGGCCTGCCTTCTTGTTTTAAAAACAAAGTTTCTCATTTCTTCTTGTCTACAGCAGTAAATCAACGGATTTAATAAGGAATTTAACATGGCAAATGTGCGGACCCATTGCGAGGAAATAATTTCTGGTCGTTTCATCAGGTGAATAACAAGTCGTAATGCCATGGGCAGAAAACACAGCATTAAAGCACTGACTACATATACAGTTGTCTTGAGCGCTTTGTTTTCTTTACCAAATCTTCCTGCTTCTTCTCGTGGCATCTGCTGGATTTTGATCAACTTTCGATGGCGTCGTGTTTCAACATACAAAACAGCATAACCAGAGGCTACAAAAACGATACAAGAACTTACGACGAAAAGACTAAAGGCCAAGGCCTGGCGATCTTCTATCACTTTGATTTATCTGAGTGCATCGCAAAATAGAGAAAGGATCCAAGAACAGATCACAGCTGCCCTAATATTTTCTTTAGTAACAAAATGTCGGTAGTGCATGGTAAATTTGATCGCCACAAGTCTCTCGGCAGTTACTAACATGAGATGTAGGCAAGAACACATAGAGAGGACTCGCAATGCGGTGCCGTAGATCAGTCGAGCTGGAATGCAGTTTATCGCTCCAGTCATCTCAAATGTGTTCCAGAAAATAAACGCTGGCTGAGTTATGAGACCAGTTAAGGCGTCAGTTGCGGCTAGACAGGCCAGCAAGATGTTGCTGTTGGTCTGAAGTCTTGTTGTTCTTTTTACAGCCATTATCACCATCACATTAAGGGGAACTGTGAAGGGACAAGCGATGATGTTAATTATTAAATTGATCACAACAGTCGACGAATCTTGGACGTTTTCTGTCGTCTCTTCTACGATGGTTTTTGCGAGCTCGTGAGTAATGTTTGTCAAATCTAAACTAGTATTTTTGTCCATATTGTGAAGAACTATATCCCACAGCCACTTTTATACGTTGCGCTAAAAAAACTGTTAACTGGCTTTAATGTAGGAATTGCTTCTCTGGTGTCCGACATCCTGTATGTCAGCTGTTTAGATGACGAAACCATTACATGAAATTTACCTTATTGGTTTGATAAACGTCGCCTGGAAACTAACACGATAATACTGTAATTAATATGTTAAGTAGCTCTTAACTTGGTAAAGCTTTAAAGTAAAGAGAGACTGAATTCAATTACGGTTGTCTTTTGTATTCACCATTTTCACATGGACCATAATGCACCTTGTTTACCTCCAACAATTTTTTCATAACCAATTTGTCTTCGATTTCTCTTGAGGCGAGAGTAATACACGTTGTACCCAGGCAAGAGAGCCAGATGACCCGGCCCCAGGAGAAATAGAAATCAGTGGTTATGGAAAAAAAAATTTTTTAAATTATTGAGCGAGGTTTGTATCTCGCTGAAAACTGGCGCACCTTAAATGTCGTTCATGCCTGCCTCAAGAAATTGGAATGTTTGTGCATTTTCGTGGTTACACTGTTTTCTTCTTTAACGCGCATCTTCAGTCTGAATGTCACTCACTGTGCGGATTCACAGCCTGCGTTTTCGTTTTAAAAACAAACTTCCTTATTTCTTTCTGTCTCCAGCAATAAACCAACGGATTTAAAAGTGAATTTAATAATACAACCGTCCGAATCCATTCCGGGGCAATAATTGCTGTTCGTTTCTTTAGCAAATTAGCAATCTGCAATGCCAATGGGAGATAGCACACCGCCACTGCACCAACTACGTATACAGTTGTTTGCAGCGCTTTGTTCTCTTTAAGGAATTTTTGTACTTCCTCTTGCGGCATCTGCCGGCCTTTGATCAACTTGTGATGGCGTCGTGTTTCAAGATACAAAACAGCATATACAAATACTACAAATATTATACAAGAGCTTACGACGAAAAGAAGGAAGCCGGGTACAGCGAGGCTCCGAATTTTTGGCACTCCCATAAACTTGAAAATAACCGGTGTCAGAGAAACGATCCAACACGAAATCACTGCCACCGTGATGGTTTTCTTGGTAACAATAAATGGGTAGCGCATGGTAAATTTGATCGCTACAAGTCTCTCGCCGGTCACTAACATAAGATGAAAGCATGAGCATGCAGAAAGGGCTTGCATTGCTGCGGCGTAGATCAAGCGCGAAGCTCTAATATGGTCTTCCCCACCAGTCAACCCGAATGTTTTCCACAGAATAAACGCTGGCTGCGTTATGAGACCAGTTAAGGCATCAGTTGCTGCTAGACAGGCAAGCAAGATGTTGCTGTTGGTCTGAAGCCTTCGTCTTCTTTTTACAGCCATTATAACCATCACATTAAAAAGGACCATGAATGGACAAGTAATGAAACTTATTATTAAGGTGAATACATCAGTTGGCGCAACTTGGTAGTTTGGTTTTACGTTTCCTTCAATGATGTTTCGAAGTTTGTTAGCCGTATTGGTAGTAGAATTTAAACCACTGATGCTTTCCATCTTGGGACAAGTGGGCAGTGAAGAACTCTAGCGCGACAGTAACCTTTTTCTGCCACTAGCTTTTGAGTCTGGCTCAGTCTAGGAATTGTTTTCCAGGTATAAAGGTTTATGTTTTATATCTTTAGCAACTGTTCAAAAGAAATTGAATAGCTTTACGATTTGGCACCTGAATATGAGTTAAATAGAATTGACTAAGAATTCCGTACGGTTTTTATCTAGAGTTCACACGCAAAAGAAAAGAGATACCGAAATAAAAAAAAGTAATATATACCTACGGATAACGACTCTTTTTAACCTCAAATTAAAGCCAATTTGTTAAAAGTTCAGTCGGCGAAAAAGAAAAACAGAATTTAAATGCATTAAGCCGCAATCTATTGTATACTTTTCTTGTCGTAAAATCAATAAAATGTTTCACCATTATAGCGCATTATGAGCTTAACATTAAAAGTAGATAAAGCAAGCCAATTCGAAGAGAAAGCATGTTTGAAATGAAGAGAAATTATAAAACAGCATTTTTGAACAGCCTCACCTGGAATGAATTTTAAATTTCAGTGACACGAAAAAGTCGTACGTGAATATCTACCGCCAAACAAAACGTAAAAAAAAACAAAAATAATTTATGTTGATAAGCGTATGTTGTTTAACCTTCCTTAGTAGAATTTATTAAGTCTAGGTAATTCGAATCAACAAATGGTTTTAAATTCATTTGTACCAAATTTAAGGCCACCTTCATACGACAACGGATGAATTTTCAACCGGCTGAAAACTTTGACCGGCCACTTCCTCTACACAGGACCGTTCAATAGGGAGCTTAAGCAACGACGACGGCGACGCCAACGAGAACGGCAAAAAGGTATAGGCCCGTTTCAAACGTCGCGCAACTGCCGTGTCGAAATCAAATGAATTTAACCCGGCAGTTGCACGGCAGTAGCACGGGAGTGGTTTCAAGCGTCGAATTTAATTCAGTCGCGCCAAATTCAAAATAAAGAAAGCGTCGCAATCAGGCGCATTAGAGTCAAAACACTTACACATATATTTTTTTTCATAATCTGTGAATTGAGTTCCGCACGGCAATAGCACGACACTTTTGAAAACGAGCCGTGCCACTGCCGTGTAGCACGGCGGACCCTGTCGAATTCAATTGCCTTGTCGAACCAAATTTAAGTTTCTGAACTGAATGATTTCAAACGTCGCGCCACTGCCGTGCCAAATTCTATCAATTAAGTGCGGCACGGCAGTTAATAAGCACGACGTTTGAAACAGGCCTTAGTTTGGCAAAACATCTTCGGGTGCATCACGCCCTTTTGTAGTTGCGGGGAGGATAGACAACTGAACCTGTAATTTTTTTCCAGTTTTCCAGACTGTAACCAAACATTTTAGCATACACTAGATATTTTAATGCGCGGATCCATTCGAAACTTCAGCATCATTAGTTATTTTTAGACCAATTAAACATAATGCTTGAAATTATAATCGGAAGTTGGTTTCCTGAGAGGTCCGGAAACTTTTATTCAGTGTTGTCAAGGGGGAATTCAACAGTTGCCATTACAATGTTGTGTATTGTTTGCTTTGGGACACTTAGTAAATGGTTGAGTAGAATTTAAAAGGAGCTCCGCTCTTACGTTTGGCTAAATCCATTTTGCATCATCGAGCGATGCTGCCTATTGTTAAAGTGATTACAACAGCTGGCACAACTTGGTTTGCTTCATGTTTTCTTCGGTGCTGTTTACAGATTTGTCAGTATCGCTTAACGAAGTGAAACCAGTGGTGTTGGTCTATCTTGGGACAAGTAGGCATGAAGAACTAACATATGCCACAACAGCGACGGACCTTTATTTACCTTTCTCAATATATCGACAGGTTTATAATCTTATATTTTAATGGTAGCTGATCAAAAAGAGATGGTTGTACGTAGCATAAAATTGATGGATGAGTACAACAGTCAAAAGTCTTAGAGTTTATTTCCAGTGTCGAGTAATTTTTACGTGCGTACGAGCGTAAAATTTACGTTCGCAAATATAATAGCCGGGGAGGCAATGCATGAAAGGTCGCTCGTACATGCAAAGCGTAAAAATTGAACCTCGCTCAACTTCTCGTTTAAGCTCAGCACTTTTTATTTTGCCTTTATTTTATTTACGTGATTAAAATTTACGTGCATTAACCTACGTAGCCAAAAACGCGTCAGTGGAAATCAACCTTTACGCGAGGCTTCGCCGCAAAATAAAAGAGGCGCCGCATAGATTTAATCTTACAAATAAGAGCCTCCCCTATTTAAACCTACAAAAATAAAGCTAATATCTTAAAGCTTCTGCCTAAGCCAGAAAGAAGAACAAGAATTTGCATATAGTAATTCAGTTTATTATATGGGTTTAAAATCAGTAAAATGTTTCACCATATTATGATGTTAACATGAAACTACTTATTTATTCTAATTCTAAAGTTGCAGCAAACAGGGACGATGGGTTCCTCCTAAATACATTGAGAACACTTTTCAGGCTATCAAGAGTACTTTTAGATCTCTAGAAATGCATTCTAAGCGGCGCTATAAAATTTGTATCTGTTCGGTCATCCTAGCGGGAGTCTTATCGAAATTACAAGGGCTTCAGTATTACTTTTCCGAAAATGTTAGATGCAATTTAACGAAAGTGAAAATTTCCCTGATTGCTCTCTCCATCACATTTTTAAATCCGAAAATTTTACGTTCTCTTTTTTCTACGAAAAATACCCTAACCGGAGGAGCGCAATGTGAAAAATCAGACTTTAGAAAACCGAAGGAATTTTTTTGTAAGTTTCGAAAATTGTGCATGAGTAAAACGGTCATCTAGAAATTTTAGCCGTCCTCAAGTAATAGAAAATTCTAGGCAACATCTGCTTCTCCGAACAGATATTTTACAGAAAACAGTGGTTTGGTGCAAAGCAAATCAATTCTCAAAAGGACGCATGTTTAAATTTAAGAGAAATTATAACAAACTACTATAACGAGATTACAGTTTAAAGTAAAGTATCCCGAACAAGAAAATTCTTACGTGGATATATCTGCTGCAAAAGAAAACGTAAGACAAAATTTATGTATATGGCGTATGTTCTTTAACTCATTCGAATTTATTAACCCTCGGACGTACACGCAAAGTCATACCCCCACCGTTGTAAAAAGGGGGGGGGGAAGGGGTGGTTGATAGACCCCCCCCCGTTGAGTTTTAGGACAGTATTCATCTTGGCACAGTACGTCCTTAATGTTACAGCTATACCATAAGATTTAACACCAAGACATAAACTTAGTGGTGATTGCTGAGATTACATCTAGATCTCTTATAAAATCTGATTGCTTGCTCTATTTACAGTTATGAATTAAAGTTTATTTGCATTTAGTCCACAATGTAGCGTTGACGGATTGACGGCATACATATCCTCCACCTGAATAGGACTTTAAGTCATCTTCATGCATCTTCCACTAGTTCCGAAAGAGTGCTTGATCTCAGTTATACAGCTTGCAAGATAAACAGCACTACTCCAACTGTTCTTAATCTTGTTTTTACTTCTACGGGTTCAGAGAGATCACATGAAAAAATGCGCACTGAGAGCTGGTGGTTTAGAATAGAACACTGCGATTAAGCATTCTAAGCTCCTTAAAATCAAACTACTTTCGAATTATCGAGAGATTCTCAAATTTAGGGAAATTTCTTACAATAGTTCGTGACATCAATTACACAATTTGTACATTTTCATAACTCGAACTTATAAATAATATTAATAGCGGAGCTCCTTGCGCGCGCGAAGCGCGTGCAGAGCGGAGCACCATGGGTAAGAAAATTTGGTAAACTATCCATCTGAGAAAATTTGGTTATGACATAGCGTACGCCCTCCCGCCCACCCGTACACACGCTTCATGTAAGCCGATGTCAAATGTCACAAAGGATCTTGCACAACTTGACTCGCCTCTTAGTTATGTAAGCCATCCGTATGAGTACGATTAGATTGACAGCTGTCAAAATTAGGCATCCGCTGACAATTATCACATGACTATCTCGCGGGCTCAGATGAAAGACCAGTCGTTTTGCCCCTACATATAAGCGGATATAATATGTCACACTTACCAATTCAACATAAAAACAAAACTACGCCGGGCAAGGCTGTCAGTTGGCTGACAGTCGTTTAAAGATATATTGGCAAGCCAATTTAAGGTCAATTGACAGCTGTCAAAATGGGACATGTGCAGACCACTATTAAAAAACTAATAACGTGGGCTCAGGTTCGCTCAGGTACACGATCTGGCATTTTCCACTATATGCCGGACGGAGATGTCTTACTCACACTCGTAGTCTGTTAATTCGAATATTCGCCATTGCAATGAAGGTTAATTGACAGCTGTCAAACTAGAGTATACGCTGACCATCATCATCTGAGTGTATCGCGGGCTCATTAGCCTATCCATTGAGGTCACGTAGTGTTTAAAGTTTTGCGCTGATATTTTATTTGATCACGGGCTCAATTCGAAGTCTCATAGCTTAGAAAATCGATCCATCTTAGAAAATTCGGCAATCACGTGACCGTACACCGACCACCCGACCTTCCGTCCGTCCGCACCACAGGTATACCAATGTTTAATCTCACACTTTCTAGCTAGTTTGGGAGCCTGCAACCTGATATTGTACATCCATGTTTTGATTAATTGACAGCAGTCAAAATAGTGTTACTGCTGACTAGTATCGCCTGTCCCTATCGCGGGCTCAGGTATCGACCCACTGAGTTCGAGTGTTTTTTAACGTATCCGCTGACAGGTTGCTACTTTTCAATTATCGCAGGCTCAAGTTCAATTTTTTTTAAAAGCATATGAAATAAGTCGAGTTCATGAGCCGCACTTTTAAAATGTTGATTTCGAACTGACCTCGGACGCGAAAATTCAACCGGCTTTTACATTTACATGCGGGGAAGGCAATCACTTTTGACTTTTCTCACTGTCACGCGTTGATCACGCTCTACGTTCAATTTTTATGTTCTGCTTGGTCAAAATTTGACAGGTGAGTTCATGCGGAAAATTTATGCAGCGTCTGGAAACTTGCTTACTGATAGCTGGAGCTTACAGAGTTTTGTGTCATCTTGTGATGTTTTAAACTGGCTGTTTCTACTTGGTTTACAAAATGAAATACAGCTGCTATCAAGATTGTTCTGTAATTCATGCCTGGTTTGTTTATTCAGGGCATATCTAATCGATCGAAATCGATCATCGAAAAGCTAATCGATTAATCGATATTACTCGATAATACTCGATATTTGTCGATTAATTAGTTGATTTAATCGATCGAAATCGATAATCACAAACTTTCTTATCACATCGATGAAAATCGGTAATAAAAAACGTGCGCCAAACCTTAACAGCCATCTCGTAAACAAAAATGGTGAAAGCTGCTCCTTAGGCGGACGTGAAAACTTTCTTACCTCGTAATCGACTTTGATCTTGCTTTATGCAGTCTTATGTTAGGTACTTTTTCTAATTTTCTTTCTTCATTGACAGGCAATATTCAGCTGAATATTCCGGCCCAGCAGTCTTATGGTGGTGTACTCTGTGCTGTAATCGGTGTTATCCAGACAAGAATTGAATATCGCCAACTAACGTACAAGGCAAAGGAAATTTTTTACCGCATTGGTATTCGAGAATCTTAGTAATAGTCTGAGTCACTGCCTAAATCATGCTAAATTTTAAGTGACAGAAAACTGCAGAAGTTGACAAATTTGACACCAGTTCTCGAAGAAATTCAAGCGCTTGTGGGCACGTATAATGGCGTGCTTGTTTACATTTGTTAGCCGCTGACCACAAAAAAGACAACTCTTTCTCCTTCAAAAACATATTTAATCACAAACTAATCAGCATTTAATCTCTGATAGACTTGCTGTGATTGCTATATTGTCCGGGCGTGTACGACCCCTCCTTCCACTTCCTGCGGTGGTTGTTCAGCCAAGTTATAACCTATAGAGAGCAAATATTATAACATCTTCAGTGCTTCAGTTCAGGAAAATGCAAGGAATACACTCTTCTTTTTAACACTGTTTTTAAGAGTCATTTTTTTTTATAAGAACGGAAAAAAAAAAAAAAAAATGTATGGGCTGGAAATAAGAACAAGCTCAATTTTCTTTAAACAAAAGCAGTAAAAACGAGTACGCGGATAGCACCGACAACCGGGGCCAGCAGTTGATCATGCCGTAAGCGCATACCCCCTTGAATAAAACCATTTGAAACGCCGCAGCGCCAGCATTTCTTTCAGCAAACATGTTTCGTTCGCCGTGCGCCTTTCTCTCGTTGTGTCTTGTAGCAAGTTCTTGGTATTACTTTATTCTACAAGTTGAAAGTGCCCCTCAGAGAGATGTAAATGACCTTAATAAGGAATTACAACAACGTGGTTTTAAACCACTCTGTTCTGGTAATGATTTCAAGACTTCTTGCACATGTACATCGTGTGGAACTTCTCTGCATTATCAAGACAATGCGAAAGCAATGTGGCTGATAAAGCGGCATGCGAATGAAAACTCTCAACTCTTGTTGTTTTAATACACTGCATGCTCGATTCTTTTAAGTTTTATAGCGAAATTTAAACTCCGATAGTCAAACTTCAATAAAGTGTTAAGAGGATGTTAATTGAATTTATATGGACTGCTGTTTATTAGTTCGAGTGAGTTGGGGATTCGTTCTGGCGAGGATCAACCAGGCGCTAGAAATAAACACTTGACGAAAGTGAATCGACACGATCTTCGTCTATTTTCGAACAAATCGATAAAATCGATAGCTAATTACAAAAATCGATCAAAATCGATAATCACAAGAAAACGAGCGATCGATATATATCGATTTCCGATATTAATCGATTGATTATTATCGATTACGATCGATTACGATCGATTTCTATCGAGTATCGAAAATATCGATTAGATACGCCCTGGTTTATTGCGCTCTTTGTTGACAAATGCACCGCTTGTCAAAGTCATTGGAAATCCGATTTCGGATGGCATCGTTTTCAAAAATGAGCCTACTCACTTGCCCTTGCTTGAGGCGTAAGAGGGTTGAAAATTCTGGAACACTTGATGACCTTCAGAAGCAGCATCTCGACTGGTAAGCCTGAGAAATTGTTGTCTTTGATGTGTTTTTTTTTTTCGGTTTCCTGAAGTCCTGCGTATGGTTTATGCGGCTTAAGTTTATATACGAGCAATGATCTAACCTACAATAGTATCAGGTTTAAAAAGCCTTTAAACATTTTTTGACCTCAAATTCAAAGAAAATGTTCCGAAGATTATTTACTTATGATTTTGACTGTAAAAAGAAAGCCCTGAGCGATTTTCTTGCCTCGAGTTCATCTTGAAAAAGAGCAAACACCGGGAAGCCGGCTTAAAACATAAATAAGCTTATGCTTACCTGACTCATGATTTTCAAAGACACTTTACTCTCAATACTTCTCTTCGTGAATGAAAATTATTGTCTCTGTACATGTTTCACCGAATTATATTTATTTTATTGATTGTTAGTAGTCCCTCTCGCAATTTTTATCGCTGCACTGGTTGTATCCAGTCGAACATAAACATCTCATGCAGGAATACTCAAAACGCCGCGCGTAAATATCACTCGCTTTTAAAGATTACACATAACAAAACCGTCCGCACTTTAATAAATAAAGGGAAATAAAACCTAAACATACAATTTATCTATCATGTTGAAGCGTAAATGGTAACTCTATTAATCGCACTGCAAATTTAGTGCCTATCAAAAGTGAGCCCCGTCCGGCTGGCCGAAAAGTGATTTTGGGAATTTTTTTATCGTTTTCATTAAAAGCCCATTTTACCCTGCATATCACATAGGACCAGATTTTTCTAACTGAAAGTCCTAGCATTATAGAATTCTCTTCATGAAAACGTTTTATAATTCAATGCTATAATTTGTTGTGCAAAGGAAGCGCGTGCTTTGATCGTCGTGGATATTGAATGAGTGCAAATTCTGTTGCAAAATTGTGAAAAACTGCAGAATTATAGGTTTAAATAGGGCAAAAAAGAACAAATTCTGTCCGAGGTCTGTATGATAAAAACAAGGGCCTCATAGTACTGTTTACCTGAGACGTGATGAGAAAAAGTATGTTTAAAAGGCTGGTTTACACTCCACCAGATTCGTCGCCAAGATTTACTAGTAAACTAAACTTGTCGAACACAAAAAATCCGGCCTGATTTTTTATTTTGGCCTCTCTTTTAGACAGAGGAATGCAACGTGTAAATTGGCTGCCACCAAGGACTATCGTGGCGCCTGTGTTTCTTAAAATTATATTTCGGGGTTGTCCAATCATTCATAGTCTCTCAAACGGAGCAATGTTGGAGAGAGTGGTGAATGCCACATTATGATTCAACAGCTAATGCAAATACAATACACGAATAGGTAGGTCTATTTGTTTTCCAGGCCTAATCTACTGTGATCGAACATGATTGCTATTTTTGGGTGTACAAATAAGATTATTTAATAACTCGATGTAAAAGCTATTTCACTCTTGGACTGTCAAATTATTTTTCTCTAAAATCACTTAGCCTTTGCCTCAAACGTCAAATGAATGTGCCCTGATCTGCGGATTACAAGTTTATTGTTTGATTTAAATTATGAATCTATTAACGGGAGCTTCGCTTTTAGCCCTGGCTAAATCTATATATTACAATATTTATTATTAAGCGTTATGCATACCTAGTTCAATGCACGTTTTATTAAATTGAGTTCTAACCTTATGCCCTATTCACACCAGAAATATGTTTAATTTAACTAGGGTTTCATAAAAAATGAAACCCAGTAACCGAAACTGACTAAAACATAGTCTTTTACACAGAATTCAAATGAATCTTAACTCTTTACATAATTGCACTCAATTTGCAATCGATAAAAGCACATACAGCAAGCAGCTTTTATAAAGAAACGGCGTGCGTAACGAAATAGCTTTAAACTTAGCTTGTTTAAGCTTTGATGAGAATGGGGGGTACTTTCCTCTTAGGGGTACCCATTGCAAGGAGGGCTTCCTCCTAAATGCATGGAAAACAGTCAGGCTATCCACAGTACTTTTAGATCTCAAGAAATGCATTTTAAGCGGTGCTATAAAATTTGTATCCTTTCGATAATAAGGCAACTTGAGTCTTTTCGAAATTATAGGGGCTTTTAGTATTATTTTCCCGAAATTTAAAGTTTTACGAAAGTAAGAACTTTCTGATTCCCCTCTTCATCGCATTTTCGAATCAAAAAAGTTTAGGTTTCTTTTTTCTACGAAAATTAGCTTAACCCGGGAAGTGAAATGCGAACAATTAAACTTTAGAAAATCTCAGGGAATTTGTTAGATAAGCTTTGAAAATTGTTCACGAATCGGAACGGTCATCTAGAAACTCAGTTTAGCCTTCCTCAAGCGATAGTAAATCCTTGGCAATTTTGCTTCTACGAACAGACATTTTAAAGAGAAAACAGTCGTTGGGTGTCCCTACCTTCCTATAATGTAAAAGCCAGTGGGTAGGTCTGACTTTAAAATCAAGGGGGATGAACGACCTGCTGTGTTTTTGGTTTAAAAACAAACTTCCGCAGTTCTTTCTGTCTCCAACAGTAAATCAACGGATTTAAAAGTGAATTTAGCATTGAAAACGTGCGAGCCCATAATGGTGGAAAAATATCCGGCCGTTTCAGCAAGAAAGTAATAAAAGCTAAGGCTATTGGCGAAAAACACACTGCTAAAGCGCCAACTACATACACAGTTGTCTTCAACGCTTTGTTCTCTTTCGCGAAATGCTCTACTTCTTCTTGGGGTATCTGCTGGGTCTTGATTAGCTTTCGATGACGTCTACCTTCAATATACAGCAGCGCATATGAAAAAGTGACAAAAATGATACAAGAGCTTATAATTAAGGCGATGAAAAAGAAAGAAAAATTCTTTGCTGGTTTGATAAATTTGAGAACCTCACAAACGAGAGAGACGACCCAACACAAGATAACTACTAACTTAATTTTTTCTTCACTTACAATATATAGGTAATTCATTGTAAACTTGATCGCTACAAGTCTGTCAGCAGTCACTAGCATAAGATGAAGACAGGAGAAAACAGAAAGGGCGCGAAGTGCCGAACTGTGGATCACGCGAGGTGGGTTGTAGTTGAGCGCACCAGTTATCTCAAATGTTTTCCAGAGAATAAAGGCTGGTTGCGTTATTAGACCAGTTAAGGCGTCAGTTGCGGCTAGACAGGCCAGCAAGATGTTGCTTTTGGTCTGAAGTCGTCGTCTTCTTTTGACAGCCATTATCACCAACACATTAAGGACAACTGTAAAAGGACAAGCGATGCTGTTTATGATCAAAGTAGCGACATTTACTTCATAATTGTCATTTTTTAACGAGCCGCCTTCGATGGTATCTTCAAGTTTGCTAGTTATGTTTGTAGAATCGAAACTAGTGATGTTGGCCATCAAGAGACGAGAGGGATTAAAGCTCCTAATGTGGACTTTGCCAGTGACCTTATATCTGCTGCGTCAAAAGTGCAGTCTCGAGACAACTCATTTTATAAGACATTTTGGCTCTCTAGCAGTTGGTCTTTGTGTTAATTTTCCCAGGCATTTTAATATAGAGGACAATTAACTCCGCAGAAACCATAATATCAAATAAAAATAACCTCAACATAATCAAATGGTTAATTCTCATAGTTATTCTGCCACGAAGTGATGATTTCTTTCCGGCGTAAGAAACAGAAAATAGTTTAATATAACATGCATGGAAAGTGCTGAGCTTTAGAGAAATATTGATGGAGAATTTTTTTTTAATTTAAAAAAATCGACCCTTTGAGGCGATATGTAGTTTAAAATTAATTTTCAGTTTATAACTAACTGACTAGCCAGAAATTTTTAAAAAAGATATACAATTTTGTGTAATTGACATGGAAAGTATTGAAGTTTTGTTTCTTTTTGTCTTTTATGCTTGTGCAAATCCTTGCCGCACGCAAGATAATGTATTACATTAGGACGAATTAGGAGTGAAACGATAGAAAAAAGCAGCGAATTTTATGGCTTTATGAAGAACGTTCCTACTAAGTAATCTGCTATAATGAAATTCCGCAAATGAAATTACACGAGTTATAGAAAGTCTGATTTGCAACAATTTTCTAAAGGGGGTCAAATTAAACAGATCTACTTTTATTTTTTATGAAGGTAACTCTGATGGATATTTTAATTAAGGACCAAAAAGAAACCGTACGCAAAAGAAACAATGAGGAAACTGATAAAATGACCTGTTTTAAAAAATTAAATAAAAACACAGTAGCAATTCTAAATAGTTCATCTAATTCGTGGAACTCCTCACAAACAATTGGGTTAGCAAGGAAAACGTCGAATCGAGGTCCGATAGTCGACCACAGTGCAAGGAAATAAGTAAACGAGAGATACAACTCGGTAGACTTTGTATTGGCGAAAAGGTTGAATAATTAAATAAGTAAAATTAATTAGAAGTAGTTGTTTCTGAGACTATTATTAAAGTGAAATTTTAATTTCTAATACTAAATTATTTGTCGACGCGAACTATTGGCCAAATCGTGCAGCAGCGCTATTTTCTGCACGCTACGGATCATTGGGCCTATCTTTTTACTTAACTACCGATCGAGTATTGCTAGGGTTCCTACAACCTATATTTTACCCACTGCGAAAAGCTACTTTTGTATGAGGGGACCGGATATTAATGGTATCGCCGAGATGAATTACGAGGCACAGGTAAAATTGGCCTAAAATCGGTCTGGTTTTGTAGTAACTCTGGGTTTGAATTATATTACTGCAGGAATCGTTTCTTATGACGTATCAGTCTTTCTCCCCAACCCACATTCGGCCCCACAGAAAAAATATAGATAAACAATCATACAGCCCTTTCTTCCGCAAACCTGCTTTTATCCATGTAATAGCTTAGTACTGCCGTGATATTTTCAAGTTTCTCTCTCCTATGCAAATTAATTAATACACCGCCACAAGACAAATTAATCTATACTTTTGTCACAAACGTTACTACAACCCAATGCATCAAGACTAAATTTTCGACAAAATTAGGCAACTCTTCAAAGCTGACCAACTTATTAACTATGAGTGTATACATGTATTTTGAGACAGAAAATACCCACTTATTTTAAAAGTGAAGCATTCATTAGTTCTTTTTTTTTTCACCTCCAATATATGTCTCTTCCTAAAAGCAGTATATTATGACTTGTTTTGCGGCAAATCTTTGCCTGAGTAAATTAATCAATGTATTCAATAATATGTAGGTGTGCCACTTTTCATCATAATTACATGATCAAAATAATATATCTACTAACTAATAAGTTTTATCCTAAAAAGTAGGCGCTTAAAATAGAATTCTCAGCCTCTTTTTATTTTGCGGTGGTTCTTAGAGTATGAATGAATACAAAATTTCTGTTGATAAACTTGAGGCTCAACTTGGCTAATGCGATGTTTTCATTATTTTTGAGGCAATCGTTATTCAGCAATCGAATTTAATCACGGGTAATGCCTTAGAATAGCTCTCTCGTAACTGAATAGATGAAAAAATAAACCTTGAGAGCATTTGAGCATTTGAGCCTTTTTTGAGCCATAAATCTTTCCGTGATGCCCATAATTTTATCAAGATGGCCAACATCACTGGCTAGAATAAAAAAAACAAAATTAAAAAAATAAAGTAAAACAGCTTGCTCAGTTCTGTTTATTCATATATATAGTCGGGCGGGGAATAAATCAATCACGAATTAGAATCGATTTTATCATATTGGACGCTCACACTCAAAAGTTGAAATTTAAATGTAACGACTTCATCCTGTTTCCACTTCATCTTACGGTAGTGGCGGTAGTGTAAGTTTGATGGTACTGTACATTTTCGTTCTCTAAAGGTGTTTTACCAAGTTAAAACTTGTTTTGCGGTAGATGGATATCTCTACTTTGACATGCTAAATTTGAAATGGCGGTAAATTTTAATCAATTAATTTTTATATGGGCACGCAACAGTCAAAATATACAAAAATTAATCTTTTTCGTTTTTCAATACTTCTATACGTAAGAATAATATGTTTTTCTGGTTAACTTCAGAAAAATTCTTTATAATGCCAAGGATAGGTTTGATTAACATTCTACTGTTAGTTTAAGTTCAGTTTTTTTTCACTTTGGAGTATGCCTTCCACCGTCAAACAACCTGGTTCGTTTAGTTACAAATCATATTTACTTTGCCATGTTACATTCATACTGTGATGAACCAATTTTTGAACGTAGCAAAAACCCTTTTGGGGGGAGGGAAGTGCGGTCGGAGGTGGAGAACGTCTACTGAACTGTTATTGCTACTCGGACAGGAACATTCTTCAATACTCAGCAGGAAAGGAACTTCGTTTTCATACACAGTGTTCTTTCCAAGACCAGGCGATCCTGAGAATATAGCCGCCTCTCGTCGCTCTCTTGTAAACTTAGCAAAAGTCATCCTCATGAGATTCACTGAAAAAAGCCTTATAGCGAGTAGAGAATTTAACAAGAGCTCCGCTTTTATGCTTCGCTATTGCCATTCAGTCACCATAACATCAAAAAGGACCATGAAGTGATGCTGCTTATTATAATTACAGTGATTACAGCAGCTGGCAAAACTTGATTTGTTGTCATGTTTTCTCTAGTGAGAATTTCGTTAGTACTGATTACAAACTTATATTTAAACCAGGGAAACCAGTGTTGTTGGTCCATCTCAGTTAGGACAAGTGCGCATGAAGAACTATGCGACTATGCCGCAAACAGCCACGGACCTTTATTTGGAACTGTTCTCGAGATATCGACAGGTTTATAATCTTATACTTTAATGGCAACTGGTCAAAAAGAGATAGGTAGCATTAAAATCGATGGATGAATGCAACTTACATTCAAAAATTGACTAAGAGTATCGTTGTTACCTGAAGCAAAACTTCGCCGCAAAATTTTAACTTACAAATAAGTACCCCCCTTTTAACTTGCAAAAATAAAGCTAATGTCTTAAAGCTTCTGTAAGCCAAATCGAAAAGCAAGGATTTGAATATATTTAAGTTAGTCTGCTGTATGGCTATAAATGATCAGTAAAATATTTCACCATCATGATGTTAACAAGAGACTTGGTTTTTTTCATTCTAAAGTTGCAGCAAAGCAAATCAATTCTCAATTGTACCCGTAATGATTTCCCCATAAGTCTTCCTGAATGTAACTAAAATTGTAAGAAAAAATACACTCGCCTAAGTTATTCTGGAAAACATACCCGGGCGCCGTGATGCCCGATCGATGTTTCTCGCTGATCCTGATCTGGCTGAGTACCTTGAGCTCAGTGGTTTTATGCGTCCATTTAGTCCTGTTTTAAACTTCCAAAGGCTCGACTTTTTAAATTCAGCACGACTCTAGCACGACTGTAGAATGACTTGGTTTCAGACCTCAAATTTCACTTAGTCGAATCAAGTAGCTTTTGCCGAAAGCACAACGTAAAAAAGAAAGCGGTTTAATGAACTTTTAAACCGCTTTCTAATGTATTTATAATTCATTATGAATTGAGTTACGCACGGCAGAAGCACGACGTTTGAAAAGTGCAGGCATTCCTACAGCTCTACGTCTCTTGACTCACCCAATAACTTGAAAAGACTTTGAGAGTCAACAGATACATTGTTTTAACGTCAATGGGGTTGCATGGACTGCGTTGTTGTTTTAAAAACAAAGTCTCTCATTTCTTCTTGTCTACAGCAGTAAATCAACGGATTTAATAGGGAATTTAACATGGCAAATGTGCGGACCCATAGCGAGGAAATAATTTCTGGTCGTTTCAACAGGTGAATAACAAGTCGTAATGCCATGGGCAGAAAACACAGCATTAAAGCACTGACTACATATACAGTTGTCTTGAGCGCTTTGTTTTCTTTACGAAATCTTTCTGCTTCTTCTTGTGGCATCTGCTGGATTTTGATCAACTTTCGATGGCGTCGTGTTTCAACATACAAAACAGCATAACCAGAGGCTACAAAAACGATACAAGAACTTACGACGAAAAGACTAAAGGCCAAGGCCTGGCGATCTTCTATCACTTTGATTAATCTGAGTGCATCGCAAAATAGAGAAAGGATCCAAGAACAGATCACAGCTGCCCTAATATTTTCTTTAGTAACAAAATGTCGGTAGTGCATGGTAAATTTGATCGCCACAAGTCTCTCGGCAGTTACTAACATGAGATGTAGGCAAGAACACATAGAGAGGACTCGCAATGCGGTGCCGTAGGTCAGTCGAGCTGGAATGTAGTTTATCGCTCCAGTCATCTCAAATGTGTTCCAGAAAATAAACGCTGGCTGAGTTATGAGACCAGTTAAGGCGTCAGTTGCGGCTAGACAGGCCAGCAAGATGTTGCTGTTGGTCTGAAGCCTTGTTCTTCTTTTTACAGCTATTATCACCATTACATTAAGGAGAACTGTGAAGGGACAAGCGATGATGTTAATTATTAAATTGATCACAACAGTCGACGAATCTTGGACGTTTTCTGTCGTCTTTTCTACGCTGGTTTTTGCGAGCTCGTAAGTAATGTTTGTCAAATCTAAACTAGTATTTTTGTCCATATTGTGAAGAACTATATCCCACAGCCACTTCGTCGCGCTAAAAAAACTGTTAACTGGCTATATAGGAATCGCTTCTCAGGTGTCCTATACATCCTATATGTCAGCTGTTTAGATGGCGAAACCATTACATGAAATTTACCTTAATGGTTTGATCAACGTCGCCTGGAAATCGCGCGATAATACTGTAATTAATATGTAAAGAAGCTCTTAACTTGGTAAAGCTTTAAAGTAAAGAGAGACTGAATTCAATTACGGTTGTCTTTTGTATTCACCATTTTCACATGGACCATAATGCACCTTGTTTACCTCCAACAATTTTTCATAACCAATTTAATTTGTCTTCGATTTCTCTTGAGGCTAGAGTAATACACGTTGTACCCAGGCAAGAGAGCTAGATGACCCGGCCCCAGGAGAAATGGAATTCAGTGGTTATGGAAAAAAAATTATTTAAAATTAGTGGAGCGAGGTTTGCTGAAAACTGGCGCACCTTAAATATTGTTCATGCCTGCCTCAAGAAATTAGAATGTTAGTGCATTTTCGTGGTTACACCGCATCTTCAGTCTGAATGTCACTCACTGTGCGGATTCACAGCCTGCGTTTTCGTTTTAAAAACAAACTTCCTTATTTCTTTCTGTCTCCAGCAATAAACCAACGGATTTGAAAGTGAATTTAATAATACAACCGTCCGAATCCATTCCGGGGCAATAATTGCTGTTCGTTTCTTTAGCAAATTAGCAATCTGCAATGCCAATGGGAGATAGCACACCGCCACTGCACCAACTACGTATACAGTTGTTTGCAGCGCTTTGTTCTCTTTAAGGAATCTTTGTAGTTCCTCTTGCGGCATCTGCCGGCCTTTGATCAACTTGTGATGGCGTCGTGTTTCAAGATACAAAACAGCATATACAAATACTACAAATATTATACAAGAGCTTACGACGAAAAGGAGGAAGCCGGGTACAGCGAGGCTATGAATTTTTGGCACTCCCATAAACTTGAAACTAACCGGTGTCAGAGAAACGATCCAACACGAAATCACTGTTACCTTGATGGTTTTCTTGAGCTTTCTTGGTAACAATAAATGGGTAGTGCATGGTAAATTTGATCGCTACAAGTCTCTCGCCGGTCACTAACATAAGATGAAGGCATGAGCATGCAGAAAGGGCTTGCATTGCTGCGAAGTAGATCAAGCGCGAAGCTCTAATATGGTCTTCCCCACCAGTCAACCCAAATGTTTTCCACAGAATAAACGCTGGCTGCGTTATGAGACCAGTTAGGGCATCAGTTGCTGCTAGACAGACAAGCAAGATGTTGCTATTGGTCTGAAGCCTTCGTCTTCTTTTTACAGCCATTATAACCATCACATTAAAAAGGACCATGAATGGACAGGTAATGAAACTTATTATTAAGGTGAATACATCAGTTGGCGCAACTTGGTAGTTTGGTTTCACGTTTCCTTCAATGATGTTTCGAAGTTTGTTAGCCGTATTGGTAGTAGAATTTAAACCACTGATGCTTTTCATCTTGGGACAAGTGGGCAGTGAAGAACTCTAACGCGACAGTAACCTTTTTCTGCCACTAGCTTTTGAGTCTGGCTCAGTCTAGGAATTGTTTTCCAGGTATAAAGGTTTATGTTTTATATCTTTAGCAACTGTTCAAAAGAAATTGAATAGCTTTACGATTTGGCACCTGAATATGAGTTAAATAGAATTGACTAAGAATTCCGTACGGTTTTTATCTAGAGTTCACACGCAAAACAAAAGAGATACCGAAATAAAAAAAAGTAATATATACCTACAGATAACGACTCTTTTTAACCTCAGATTAAAGCCAATTTGTTAAAACTTCAGTCGGCGAAAAAGAAAAAAAGGAATTTAAATGCATTAAGCCGCAATCTATTGTTTACTTTTCTTGTCGTAAAAAATGTTTCACCATTATAGCGCATTATGAGCTTAACATTAAAAGTAGATAAAGCAAGCCAATTCAAAGAGGAAGCATGTTTGAAATGAAGAGAAATTATAAAACGGCATTTTTGAATAGCCTCACCTGGAATAAATTTTAAATTTCAGTGAGACGAAAAAGTCGTACGTGAATATCTACCGCCAAACAAAACGTAAGACAAAAATGATCTATGTTGATAAGCGTATGTTGTTTAACCTTCCTTAGTAGAATTTATTAATTAAGTCTAGATAATTCGAATCAGCAAATGGTTTTAAATTCATTTGTACCAAATTTAAGGCTACGTAACCTTCATACGACAACGGATGAATTTTCAACCGGCTGAAAAATTTGACCGGCCACTTCTTCCACACAGGACCGTTCAATAGGGAGCTTAAGCAACGACGACGGCGACGCCAACGAGAACGGCAAAAAGGTATAGGCCCGTTTCAAACGTCGCGCAACTGCCGTGTCGAAATCAAATGAATTTAACCCGGCAGTGGCACGGCAGAAGCACGGGAGTGGTTTCAAGCGTCGAATTTAATTCAGTCGCGCCAAATTCAAAATAAAGAAAGCTTCGCAATCAGGCGCATTAGAGTCAAAACACTTACACATATAAATATTTTCATAATCTGTGAATTGAGTTCCGCACGGCAATAACACGACACTTTTGAAAACAAGCCGTGCCACTGCCGTGTAGCACGGCGGACCCTGTCGAATTCAATTGCCTTGTCGAACCAAATTTAAGTTTCTGAACTGAATGATTTCAAACGTCGCGCCACTGCCTTGCCAAATTCTATCAATTGAGTGGGGCACGGCAGTAGCACGACGTTTGAAACAGGCCTTAGATTGGCAAAACAACTTCGGGTGCATCACGCTCTTTTGTACATTTCTTTGTTGTCACTGCAAGACTACAACTCGAAAATACCAAATTTCACGTTTAATGGAGGACGTGAACACAACACAACGACTTTCTTTAACTTTTCCTGAACCGCGATACAGTCTTTTATAATTCAACTCCACAGAAAATTGCCAACATTAATTTTGATAAACTGAACGAGGTGGAATAAGCGCGATTAATTTTGAGGAAGCGCGAATTCACTTTTTAAGGGAAGTTTTCGTAGCCGTCGCCGACGTTTTGCTTAATGTGAACGGCTACACGTCTTAACTTTTCGCATGGTTAAGCCACCCTAGCGTGGTTCGTTGTGAGCGGTTGAACACTTAAACACACGAATTTTCAACCGGTCGAAAATTCTACCTATGCCGTGCTAACTTTCGCTAGTCCAATTCTCTCATCAAAAATTTGATCATCAGGGTTTTTTTTTCCATGCAGGCGATACCCGGTTAGACCAAGGCGACACTTACGAGAAAATAACACTTTTTCACCCCCAAAAAACCAACAAAGCATAGGCTATATCGACAAGCCTCTTTTTTAAAGCGAGGTGGAGTGCAAAAATATTAAAATTAAAATATATACATTTCTATTCTCATGCAGATAAAACTCATACACACAAGATAGTTTTTGCTCTTACCCCCGTTTTGAAAGAGAGAGTTTTTGTTTCCCGGAAATGACCAATTATATATTCTGTAATTGTACTTGTCGTAATTTTTAAGTCATCTGGGGATAAGATTTGTGGGGTAGGGGAGAGGGTAGTTGCGGGGAGGATAGACAACTGAACCTGTATTTTTTTTCCAGTTTTCCAGACTGTGACCAAACATTTTAGAATACACTAGATATTTTAATGCGCGGATCCATTCGAAACTTCAGCATCATTCCCCAGGCGAATCACCTGGCAAATTCCCGTTACATTAACATTAGTTATTTTAAGACCAATTAAACATAACGCTTGAAATTATAATCGGAAGTTGGTTTGCTGAGAGGTCCGGAAACTTTTATTCAGTGTTGTCAAGGGGGAATTCAACAGTTGCTATTACAATATTGTGCATTGTTTGCTTTGGGACACTTAGTAAATGGTTGAGTAGAATTTAAAAGGAGCTCCGCTCTTACGTTTGGCTAAATCCATTTTGCATCATCGAGCGATGCTGCCTATTGTTAAAGTGATTACAACAGCTGACACAACTTGGTTTGCTTCATGTTTTCTTCGGTGCTGTTTAGAAATTTGTCAGTATCGCTTAAAGGGAACCTCCACTCTTACTACAGAATAAGTTTAAATCGAATAAAATTATGTTGATAAACAAATTTGTTCGAAATTTGTCTTTAAAAAAGTGTTTATATCAGGAAAAGTGAATTTTAAAATCGCTTATTTTCACTTTCAAATTTCGCGGGCGCCGCCATCTTGAATAATTGTGACGTGTTACGGTTGCTCTATTGTTCTGACACAAAGAGCTTTTGTTTAATAACAATAGGGCAACCATTACACGTCACAATTATTCAAGATGGCGACGCCCGCAAAATTTGAAAACAAAAATAGGCGAATCTAAAAGTTATTTCTTTCGGATACAAACGCTTTCTTTAAAAATATTTTACATTGACTTGACTGCAACTGTTATTTCCTGTGATTTAAAGTTATCTTTTTGTTGAAGTGGAGGTTCCCTTTAACGAAGTGAAACCAGTGGTGTTGGTCCATCTTGGGACAAGTAGGCATGAAGAACTAATATATGCCGCAACAGCTAGCGACGGACCTTTATTTACCTTTGTCAATATATCGACAGGTTTATAATCTTATATTTTAATGGTAGCTGATCAAAAAGAGATAGGTGTACGTAGCATAAAATTGATGGAGGAGTACAACAGTCAAAAGTCTTAGGGTTGATTTCCAGTGTCGCGTAATTTTTACGTGCGTACCAGCGTAAAATTTACGTTCGCAAATAAAATAGCCGGGGAGGCAATGCATGAATGGTCGCTCGTACATGCAAAGCGTAAAAATTGAACCTCGCTCAACTTCTCGTTTAAGCTCAGCACTTTTTATCTTGTCTTTATTTTATTTACGTGCATTAAAATTTACGTGCATTAACCTACGTAGCCAAAAACGCGTCAGTGGAAATCAACCTGTACACGAGGCTTCGCCGCAAAATAAACGAGGCGCCGCAAAGATTTAATCTTACAAATAAGAGCCCCTATTTAAACCTGCAAAAATAAAGCTAATATCTTAAAGCTTCTGCCTAAGCCAGAAAGAAGAACAAGAATTTGCATATAGTAATTCAGTTTATTGTATGGATTTAAAATCAGTAAAATGTTTCACCATTATGATGTTAACATGAAACTACATATTTATTCTAATTCTAAAGTTGCAGCAAACAAGGACGATGGGTTCCTCCTAAATACATTGAGAACACTTTTCAGGCTATCAAGAGCTGAATACTTTTAGATCTCTAGAAATTCATTCCAAGCGGCAGAAAAAAATTTGTATCTGTCTGGTCATCCTATACACGAGGGTACTTCAGTCTTTTCGAAATTACTAGGGCTTCAGTATTACTTTCCCGAAAATGTTAGATGCAATTTAACGTATTACGAAAGTGAGAATTTCACAATCACATTTTTAAATTCGAAAATTTTACGTTCTCTTTTTTTCTACGAAAAATACCCTAACCTGAGGAGTGCAATGTGAAAAATCAAACTTTAGAAAACCGTAGGAAATTTATCAGGTAAGTTTCGGAAATTGTGCATGAATAAAACGGTCATCTAGAAATTTTAGCCGTTCTCAAGTAATAGAAAATTCTAGGCAACATCTGCTTCTCCGAACAGATATTTTACAGAAAACAGTCGTTGGGTGCAAAGTAAATCAATTCTCAAAAGGAAGCATGTTTTATTTAAGTTAGCATATAGGTTATGAGATTCCTTTTGTTTTAAGATGTTTTTGATTTATATAGTAGATAACTTAGGCTATTTTTGAATTATATTGTATATTGTTGATATTTTATAATTTAGATTTTTTTTTATATATTCTATTTTGTAATTAGGTAGCGCTCTGGACAATTATTGGATTTTAGCGCTATATAAACAAAAAATTATGTCCCAAACATAATTACATTTTTGCGTCGGGATACCTGTTGTTATCAAGCACTGGCTGCGTGAACTGGGTACTAGGTAACATGTGATCGAGCATTGCTTTATAGTACGTTGCGCAAATACGAGGGCCCCTTTCTACCTCTACACCATCGTGTGGCAAGTTATCTGTTTAAATTTTTCAGGCAAGTTTTTTTGTGTTTTTCTTTTTTGTCGGTATGGAACAGCCGAGGGTTCTGATTTTGGGTCACTCCTTTATACGTAGGCTCCGGGATTTTATTATTAGGAATAGTCCCACATATAACCTTAATTTAAACATTAATACCCCGGTTACAATTCATTGGCATGGCGTTTGGGGGTCGAACAATCGATAAGGTTAGGCGGTTTGATTTAACCGAAGTAGAACGTTTTAAACCTGATGTTGTACTTTTACAAATCGGTACTAACGACCTCACACGCCGTCGGTCCTCTCCAGCATCTGTTGGCTCTGCCATCGAGGATTTGGTCTGTTTACTTCATAATGAGTACGGGGTTCGTTTAGTTTGTGTTGGTCAAACCGTTAAAAGGCACCCGGTTGGGACGTTCAATGCAAACGTACAAATCCTGGCGCAGTACCTT